TCATCTTTGTTTGACATCTGAATGAAACACAAATACCCTACATGTTAACAGGGACTACTGAACTGATGTTACACCCAGTTTACCTTTATAAATGCTTGTTTAAATCCTGGTCAAATATTTCTAGTTGAATAATAATAAAACACATACTTTCTAGTGCTTTTTAAGACATCACCTTGAAGAATAAACTTTTTTTTGTTCGTTCCAACTTCTGGTTGTCTCATACATCATGTACTACAACTCTCCTAAGAGGGAGGATGTGAGAAGAAGCTGTAAATGTAACAGTTTCCTACATATAGATTCTAAAATAAAAGATACAGCATGTGGGTTGCAAAAACATAGAAAATAAAGGAAAAGAAGGCTGGTAGGCTGAGAGAAATCCATTTATCCATTTGGCCTGATTGCTGGGGTTAAACTCTCTTTCCCCAGATCAACCCAGAAGGAGATAACAGTTTCCATCAGTGTACTGCAGTGATCCTTTTCAGGCTGACTGATCAGCATTGACCCCTATTGCAAAAGACTGCCAAGCAGAGTCTGTACAGGAACCAGGAAGCATTACCTGGGCAGAGTGGAGCCTCATCCAGCAGAACAGTTAGGGGAGGCTGTGGAAAAAATCCTAACAAAGACTCTCTTTGGTGCAGCTCAGTGCTACAATCCAAGATGCCTGTGGCCAAGGATTAGCGATGCCTGGTGTGGAGGTGTAAAGATGCACGTCTCCCTTTGTGTGGCAAATGTATCGAGCAGAGACTGTCTGCACATTTATGTCTCCCACTGGAATGAATCGACCCGCTGCTGAGATCTTACAGAAGTGTGTCAGTTGGATAAAATAAACCATTATCAGTTTGTTTCTGAATATAGCATCCAAAGATGGAAAAGCAGAGAAGTGGAAGATAGCAATACATCCACATATAGATTTTTCTTTTAATTGATAAAAAGAAAAAAAAATAAGTTCATCTATGTTAAATACTGGATATTTAAAGCATCATTTGAATGTGGAAAATCTCATCTTAAAAGTTTGAAGACAATGTGATAAAAATATCTGACAGCAAAGAACCAATGGCAGTTACTAACAATAAAAATAGCTAACCTTGAAGCAATAATCAGAAACATTTGTTCCACTAACACACTGTGCCAAGATAAAATATAGTGTAAAGCTAAAGCCAAAGTCCATAATCTAACCAAATCGATAGCCACCATCGATCACTGGCATGTGTGACAGCAGAATATATTGGACAGAAATTGTTACTGCCCCCTACATATACATCTACAGAATCACTACACTAATATATACGCATGAATACACATTCAGCTACAGTCATTCACCAAGACTTCAACACAAACATTATACAACTAAAATGTTTACAAGAAGTAAAGTAACACTTTAGAATTTATCTGAAAATTTTAGTTTAAGGACAGCTAAGCATTTTCAAAGTTAGCAAAAATGCAAAAGCCCTAAATGCAAAATTTGCTCTTTTTAGTGGAAGTGCATCCTCCACTAACAGCAATTGTTCAGATTCTTCTTTCAAATGTGTGCTGTGTTTGCTACGTGGCTCGTAAACTGCCAGATCCTGCAGAGTTCCCATGAGCCATGGGATGCTTATTTGATTGTTGCTATGGTTGCCCTAGCCTGTTGTTTCAGGTGGATTGACATGTCTTGTGAAAATTGACTGCAGGTTTTCTGATAACTCTTTCCATTGTTTTGGGATGGGTTTGGTTGCACATTTGTTTTTGTAGATCAATCACAATATATATGTTGAAGTTTGTGGTTGCAACATGAAAATATACAAAAAGTCTTGAAAGAAATGAATACTTGTGCCAAAGCCTGGAACTGACCCAACACCACATGAAAGGGAGGCATGTACAATAAGTCTTAGCAGTTTTCTTTAAAGACTATATAAAACCTTTACAGAGTGTTTATAACAAGCTGTGAAACCATCCAAAAACAAGCTCAGGAAAAAAGGTCACATTGAATTGTAGAGAACATCTTGAAAACCTAGCAAGAAATCATCTAACACATCGCCGTTAAAGAGATTGATACAGTGTGATGATCTGGGACAGCCTGGCCTCCTGTGACACTACTGAGTTACAAGTGGTCATTGGCGATTTAGCAGATGACAGCAGTGTATAGATGAATTACAGAGAGTCCCAGAGGTCTGCTTCTCTTTCAAGGGAGGGTTCCTCACCGCGGCAACAAGCTCACTCAAGATGAGGGAAGATTTTACTCTCTCTGCTGGGATTCTTTTTACTAATTGGCATTTAGTAAATACTGATAAAAATTCCAAAACGTGTTGGGTGGGTGGCGTTCTTATTGTAGCAGCTAACTTTCATCATGGTGTGTGATCTGCTTTCATCTCTCATTAAATTCAATCACGCTGGGCTGCTCCAAAGCTAACTAGCTTTGCATCCTCTATTTTTTTTCCTCCTGCTCATATAATGAATATTACCTTCTATTGCACTAATAAGAGGCTGCAGTCCTCAGTGCAGGGGGGAGACGCAGGGACATCACAGACAAAAAGAGGACGATCGTTTCGTTGTAAATGTTGATGTTTTCACATGTATTTTTGGAAAGCTGATAATTATCAGAAGCAGGGAGTTGTTTGAAAGTAACACTGTGACAAAATCAGTCAAATTAAGTGACTGTAAGATAAATAATGCAAGCCACAAGATGAAAGACAGCTTTGTCTTTTGTAGTTTGTTATGGAGGAAACTGGGTGGATTGCAAAGCAATGAAGAACTGGCTTTAAGTCTGCATGATGCATTATTATAACTGCCTGATAGTTTGCCTGGGAGGCTAAAAATGATATTGATTTTTTCTCCCCTTCTTATCATCGGAGTTTTCATTTTGCTGTCCCTTCACCCAGGGAGACTCGCACCCGACATAATGTTTAATTTCTCTCCGATTCTATAAGGAGCATGAGGTGTAACTTTTCAACTACGGTAATGCTCAGAGATAAGGCCCCACTAGAGCAAGCAGGTTCCAGATAGGGATTTTTTTTTGTGCCGACTCCTCCTGTCAAAGTCAGAACATTATTCAATGCTTCTTTTGTCTCTCATTTCTGGCAGCGATTAATTGCTGTCACTCCTAGAATTTGGTGTGTGTGAGAGACTATCTTGTGACCTTTTCTAAGGAAAATGATCAGTAAACAATGCAATGTGAAGGTGTCAGAGAGCAATATGTCAGAAACACAAAGGCACAAACAGAAACTAATTAGAAGGCACTCAGAGCGCGCATAAATCTGCCAAGGCTGCTTGAGTCTCTCGGATTTCTTCTGTTAATATCACCAAATATTTAGACGTTTTCATCTCCGTTCAGATTCAAATCTGGCTCCGACTGCACATTCTAACAAAAATTACAGCCAGTGTAATCATTTTTCAAGCATGCACGGTGATTAAGTGGGAAATAACAACCCAGCTACTTACAGCAATGCTGGTTATCAACTGTCTCCAAGATATAGCCTGCAAGTCTTAGATGAATTATTCTGCCCATGTTATGTGCTCAAAATGTCTCGTTACAATGTTTTATTTTACACCTGTTTGTTACAATAATATGAAATATAGCAGTGAGACATAACTGCATGGTGTAGCTAACAAAATGGTCACAGCAGTATGTAGTGTGGGTTTAGTTTTCATGCAGTCATGCCATCAAAAAAAATAATTGCTGCAATTGGTAACAAATAATTGACTTAGAACCATCCAAGTTATTTTGTGAAGGTTTTCAAATTGTAAATTTCAACAAACCTAACAAATGACCTTGCCAATGTGAGGACAATTCTGCTAATACATTAGCAGGGAAACTCATTTTTTGCCTGTTGCTTTAGCCTTTTTGCAAACTTTGAAAACTGTCAGTGTACTTAGCTTCCCCTATATTACATTTTCCTCATTGATTCTAAAGCTCTAATTTACTTGGTTGTTTAATAAACTTCCAGTTGATTAAAGTTTGACATCTTTGTTGAAGTTCACCTTTTAAGAATTCCTCAAGTAGTTAGATGCTCTTAGTTTGAAGTGGGTGAACTGTGTACATGGCAGTTATTTTTCCTGTCCTCACATTCTCCCCACAAGATGTGGTGCAGCAGATGATGTCAATTCGGTACCCAGAATGCAATGCTGTTCTACGTTCAACAATAAACTCAACAACTGTAAAACTGAATCCATGGCCTGTTCCAAAGAATCCCTTCCTGAAGGTCAATGGTGGTGATAGCTGATCTTACATGTTTGGTACACATGATGCACCATGTATCAGTGGTGTGTCATTGACACATGAAAGGCATTTATTTACATGGCTTAAATTGGTGTTTTAGTGTGTTAGCTTTAGCTTCCACAAATTAGTATGTTTGGTTAGCACCTTAGTGTTAGCAGAACTAATATTCATGATTAGTGCTGTGTCATAATTAACCAAAGCATTACCACTGTTAACTTGGATAAACTTAAATACTTGTTAGCAACTGAAGTAAACTATTTACATTGGAACTGCTTTCTCAGTTTTTTTTTTTTTTTTTTTTTTTTGGTCCAAAACAATCAGTTCAGTGTGTAGTGATTATGAATGTTTCAACTGCCGTTTCATTTGTTTGCTTAGTTTTAGCCAACAAAGTGAGCAAACAAATGCTTATTTTTTGGTTTTGGGACAGCAACTCAGTTGATCAAATACATAGCAAACTTCTCTACTGGGGCTAATTAAAACTGGAATAGACAGGAGTTAGAGGCCAAACAAAATTCACAATAAGGACGTTGTTTTTTATTTTTTATTATTATTATTTTCCCATAAGTACAGCTGGACAGTGGAATTTTTATAAAAGTTGGATCTAACTGACATTTTCTGTCACCCTAACATGGCACAAAGGCAGTTTACACATACCTTTCTTGTAATTTGAAACCGCTATTCTTTATTACTCACCTTTTATCCTCTCAGCATGATGTAGGCAAGCCGATCAAACGGATCTCTGATAAACGCTGAGCGCTCATCTCCAGGGGGGGCTCAGCCACTGATTGTGTTTGCGTTTTTCCAGATGGTCACTAAACGGAACGCTCATTGATCTGGGGAGCGACTACCGGCGTCACATGTCTGGAGGCAGCCTGATCATTAGGAACCTGGACAAGGACCAAGACAGCGGGATGTACCAGTGCACGGCTTTCAACATGCTGGGCTCCATCCTGAGCCACAGAGCCAGCATCCAGTTCGCATGTAAGCGCCGCTCTGTTTGCTAACAATTTATTTTTATTTTTTTTCTGGCATGACTCCGACGTAGCTATGACAGTCTTGCATCTCTTTGTACCTGCAGTAGGTTACCCTGACATATGTAATATGCTTTTGGCCCACAACTTGTTTCTCCTTTTTCCCCATTTCCATTCACTCTTCCGTTTTCTAATTTTTATTGCCTGGGAATAGATTTTCACAAGGGGACATGGTAATTGAGTGAAATGTCAGATGCAACAAATACAAGGGGTATTCTCTGACTTTCTCTGTACCCCATTGATTCTCATTAGTGGTTCATACTCTGACAGCCTCCTCACCTCATCCAAACAGACACGTATTTGTGCCAAGCTGTACTCAAGCTCTTATCTAGACTTTAAAGCAGTCAGGCAAGGATAATGCTCAAAAAGTCTTTGTATCTTTGGATGATAATCACCAGATATGTCTTTGTGTATAATATCTGATTATGAGCAAGTTGAACTCTGACAGGCCAGACCACTGCTCTGGCAGAGGTAAGAAAAAAGGCAGGAATCCTGAGGAGTGACGCCGTGCAGTGGGGATTCTACCCTCCAGACCACCACCTATAGAAGCAACGCCTGTTTTTGATCAAGCCTGCTGACTATTGATCTTGTCCCGGGGATAGGGAGCCTTTCACTTCCTCTCGACTGCCATTATCCCTACAGCTCAGTGATGAATCTCACTTGTTGGGGACCAGCAGAGGAGCAGAGCTGCTTGACATTTATTGTCTTGCCTAATGCACGGTGAGAGAGGCCTGAAAGATCAGGAAGGCTGATATTTTGTTTTTCCTGTGTAATGAGGCAACTGCCCTGACATAGAAATGTCATTCCTCCTGTTCTGCTTTACCTCGCATTCAAAATCCAGCTACAATTCAGCTGCAGCCAAAGCAGGTAGGCCCAGATTATTTTTATAGCATGCCAGACAAAGCTATTGCTAAATGGCAGATAAAGGTATCCCCTTCCTTAGAACAACAGTTAACAAGCTGGTTATGTCTGGGAATGTTCAGACTTTATTAGGACATTCTGTGAACTTTGTGAGAAGGGAGTTCCATTTTATTGTTTCTAGATTTAATATTAGTTATTTTTTTAGAGAGCTTAATACATTAGGAATGCACCGATTCACTTTTTTCACTTCAGATGCCGATACAGATATCTGAAGTTTGGTATTGGCCAATACCTTGCTTGGTTTTGGTTCATTTCTGTAATACAACAGATTCCCTTGATTATTTAAAGCAAGACTTCTTGTGAAAAGTATGAGAAAGATGAAAAATCGGAGTTTTCTTACACCAACCATTGCTTGAATGGTTTGCAATAAAGTGATTAAAGGAAGGAATATTTATAAAACTGTTCCACATGGAAGACAAATGGTCTGTCATGTTGAAAGCAAGAATGAGCAACAGAACAGGAGAGGACCTGCCTATCAAGTCACATTCATTTTTTATTATTTTTTTTAGGCTTTGTTGTGACTTGGCTCTGTTAGTCAAGCTGTGTCAACTCATTACAATGAATAGATTTACAGTCATTTGGGTACTGTGCAAAAAATTTTCTCTTTGCATAAACATGACATGATATCTGATATCTTGTGGGTGGACAGAGTATGGAGCAGCAGTAGAAACCTAAGACTAAACTAATAAAAGAAACAGCTTTTACCAAATGTGAAGCAGGACTGTGAATGACTTGATTTGATTAGTTTGGCTTGGAGTCCTGCAATGGGACCTGGTGTTACAACCCCTCCCCAAGACCACTTAGGATCCTGGCACTGGGTGTAACACAAAAATCCTGGCACTGGGTGTAACACAAAAATGAGTAATCTAAACAGCTGATTTCAGTAGCAAAAGAGTTTATTTTACAGTTCAGGTAAAACCTCAATCACAGGAGGCAGAAAATATAGGGAAGCTTTAAGCTTCTGGGTCTCCAAGGCCAAAACAATAAACAAAACACCCCCTTTTAACTATAACATTTTTAAATAAACATCTGAGAAGAGAACTGAAAGTGGTCCAAAACCTGAACTCTCTGGCTCACTACAAAGCAGGAGTAAACTGTTTACATAAATGGCAGAGAATCCCTACCAGCTTCCACTGTGAATAGAAACACCCTACCTTAGTTAGACACTTGATTCTTCACAATATGCTCACATCAAGATCATTCAAGTCCCCTCAAACAGTCAGCAGACAGAAAAATTCATTTCAGACCAAGGCCCAGGGAAAAAGGGACCTGGGCTCATCATGGGGTGGCTGATGAGCTCCAACACATTTCACCTGTGGCAGCCAAATAGAACTGAAACACAGAGAGAGCTCTCTCATGAAGAGAGCCCCTAGAGGTCAGTGACCGTAACACCTGGGACTTTCTGGTCATGTACTACTGTGTTAAACTCCTAACAAGAACCTTCTGGAAATGAATAAGGGCCATCAGTTTCCACATACCTAAATGAACCCTTAATTCTGAATTTTCCCTCTGACAGTATGAGCTTTTATCCAACATTAGCTATGGCATCCTAATTTTATTGAATTTTCCAGATTCATTTATGCTGTATATTGGCCTATATCAGCTTGGCTTAAGAATTCTGCCAGATATGATACATTATAACAGGTAACGTATGTCCACTGGCACCCTTACCCAGACCAATCATCCTGGCAATGCGATAGCCTCCCTCTGTAATCTCTAGGCCAGCCATTCTTATATGCCAGAGATTGATTCTGCTTACAGAGGAATCGCTGCAGCAATAGTGAGTTTGGCCTCTAGCTTTCAGAGTTACAGTGTGTGGTCAACTGACTCCCATGAAGCCCATTACTCTTCTGTACAGAGTCTGCACAACAGACTCTGTACTCTGTACAGAGTCTGTTGTACAGTCTCTGTAGTCTGTTGTGCACAATTTCTTGTGCAAATTGTGGAAATTTGCACAAGAAAGGGATAAAGACTCTGCCAAGCACTGAGCCTGGCAGAGTCTTTATCCCTTTCTTGTGCAAATTTCCACAATCTGGCCAAACAAGTTGATTTTTTCTCATCTGCTAGGCAATTAGAAGTTCTTTGATTCATCTCTGCCTGCTTTTAAAGGCATCGTTGTTCTGACAATCAGCCGTCTAGAAGACCAGGTATGACTCAGAGTCCCTCAGAATGAGAAGCATCTTAGAGGAGAGAGGACCAGAACTTATTAAGGCAGCCTGCTGAGATCAGAGGGACGTTACCTCTGCATGTGTTTTTAAGCGAGTTGCCTCCTCCTGTTGCCTCTTGCGGCCCTGCCATGACTTGGCTCCATTTGAGTCCATTGCGGTCAGCGTAGAGCTGCTCATTAATCTTAGCGGCAACTCTGTCCCACTTCTCTCCATAATCTTCCCTTCTCCTAATTTCCCTTATCGGTCACACTGACTTTCGTTTTGTTTGTGTTTGGAAGGCTTACTCCAGGCTGTTAGCCAGGGGGTGCAGACAGGGAGCACAACGGACTGCAGCAGCTTGCCCCTCATCCCCCCATCCGTCATGAAGCCAGAGGTGGTTAATCATGCCAGGTTTTAGGTTGTTATGTTTTTTTTCATCCTGTCCCTGCCAGCAAATGCTCATTCATTTGCAGGCAATAGATAGTGCTGAGAGTACTGATGGGGAAGCTAATGCTTTTAAGTGCAAGATTACACCACATTTAAGAATGATGTTACTTATTGCTGCTGGCTCTGCAAACTGTCATTTGTCATGCATTCTCCTCTTGTGTTCTACCAGCATTTTCCTTCCTCCTTACTAATTTTATTCCATTTTGGTCTAATCTGTTCCCTGCAACCTAAATTGCCATGTTGCTGTTGTAAACATCAATGAGGCAGGTCCATCAGCACCACGACATCTTTGAAACCATCAGCTGCTGTCAGGAGGCGCCTGCAGGGCAATCACAGACGGCCTGTTAAAGTCTCAATCTTCTCCTGTGTGTTTCCATGAGGGGAGTTTAGGGAAAAACCTGCGTTGTGCCATTTCTAAAGCCGACCTCATCAAAGAAACCTGGATGAACAAACTGTTCAAAGAAACTCTGTGGCAAACGCCTTGCTATATGCTACCCAGGGTTTTAGCTTTTGTTAAGCTGCTGACAAATTCAATTGTGATCTTTCCTGATTCATCAGATCTTGACAGCTTCAAAACGCAGTCGGTGAGGAGTGCAGTGAACGTCCGTGAGGGCCAAGGAGTGGTTCTTTTATGTGGGGCTCCCCCACATTCTGGAGGTGAGTGCTGCCACATCAAGCTGCTGTTGTTTGTGTACTCTTGTTTTGATTGCAGAAATACCCAAAGGACGTTTCCTGTTTTACTTTGACATTTGAGGAAAGAACAATCAGTTTTTATTTTATTATGTAAGGGGCAGCAGGAGACGTTTACCTTGTGTAATAATTAAATAGTTTGACAGCATTTACATTTATGCAAATAATATACATTATAGTTTGTCTTAAAGCTGGTTTGAACCCCTTGCATGTTATTGTTTACAACCAGAAAATTTGTGTATTCCAGAGGACAGAATGAACAAGTCCAAATAAAACCCTTAATTTAGTTTTATGTGCCACAGCAAAGGGAAATATAATGCAAAAAAACCATTGAAGAATAATTTAAAGCCACTTGTATTTTTCTTTTTTCTTGCTATGCTATACACAGACACGTTGCCATGGCAGTTGACAATAACAGCACTTTGTGTTTCAATATTCACCATCAAAAAACACTCAAACTTTTCCTACACAAATTTGTTGACTTTGCAACTATTAGTTATTTGAACTATCGTATGACAATGCTCTCTCTGATCACTTCATTTCCTCTAAATGATGCAAACATCTGTCTAAATGCATCTCTCAAATGCATATTTTGGTTTTAATGAAATATAAATATCCTCATTATCAGAGTAATGTCTCATTATAACAAGAAACGTTCTGGTTATTTCAAGATATTACTCCAGAATTTATTTCCTTGCTTTTGCAGTTAGTCTGTTAATTAAAATGGCAATAAAATATTGTTACAAAGTGAATATTTAGGATGCTCTATTTTTATATCGGCACTAGGATCATACTGTAAAATATTTGTGTAAATGCCCTTGAACTGTTGAATTATTACACAAGATAACAACAAGAAAATTTGTTGTTATATCAACACTTTTGTATCAAACATGGAATAAACAGCTGTAATATCTCACAATACCTTTTAAATAAACATACTAATTCAGCATATCATTGTACGTCTTGGGATGTACATGGCAATGCAAACATAAACATGTATCCATTCATTTATAAGGTAATCTGCTCTAGCAGTTAACAGCAAAAACACTAATACTTTTCACACCCCATTTTATTTTTTATGAATTTATAAAGGAGGGGAAAGTGTGGACAACTATTTTTTGCCAGCTGGCCAGCAATGAATTGCAGTAAGTGTGGGAGGGGCAGAGCTGCTGGTCACTCTGGAACTGTCTCAGGCGTCATTAAACAGACTTGAAGATGTTTTGAAACCTTTGACTTTTTAGTACATATTCATATCAATACAGTTTTGCTACAAAGATTCAGATTTTACAACAGACTAAAACCAATCAGAGCTTGTATGCTTTTTAAAAAAATGTTTAGTCTAATTAAAGAAGGATATTTCTCAAATTAAGCACAACAAAATTATCTTGTTTACTTCCTATGATTGTAAGGTGTGAATTTTGAAAAATGCTCTCCAGAAGCTGCAATAAACAGGAGATTAGCTTACCGTTCCACAGAGGGTGGATGTAGCAAACAGGTAGCCAGGCATTGTGAAAATGTGACAAAACTGCAGACAGAGAAACAGCAATTCTAAACTTAACTCATTAGCACAGCATATTGATCTGCTTATTTGCTAGAAAACTGCTTTGTTACAAAGGGATTACATTGTGGAAAAAAAAAAAACAACTACAGCCTGACACTTTCTAACTTAAGGTTTGCAGAAATGTTAATTAATGAGATTTGGGGCTACAAAGTTGGAATTAACTGTCTCTTGACTGTTTTCAGTGCCTTTCAAATGCATGCATGCATGTTTTGGGGTTCTTATGTAATATGCCAACACAAAGTTGTGCCTAACTGTAAAGTTAGAAAAAGGATTTATGCTTTATTAAGATTTCCCAAATGTTTGTATTCAGCCCTCTTTACTCTGACAGAACTGGATGTTCTATCAGAGCAAAGAGTCAAATTTCTTTACTCTGAAAGAAGAACATTTGATTAATGAATGAAATGTTTAACCATTTGATTCATAAAACAGACTTCTTAGTCAACTAACATCCAAGTGGAAACCAAAGAACAACTCACAGATTACTATCCAAATCATCATCCAATGCATAAAGGCTCCCTACCAACACATACCAAGACATTGTGGTCAAGCTAAGCTTTCAGGACAAGGACATAATTAACTGAAAAAGCAAAGAATCAACTCTAGTAGCTTAGTAAAAAAAAAAAAAAAAAAAAAAAACGCCCACTGGTTCTACGGTTTGGTTCGTACAGAGAGTCTGAACTATTAGCTATTGAGAAACAATCACTTGCTGGAGGCATGGAAGGAGAAAACAATTGGAGCTGCTTTGACCCATTTGCTAACATTTGGCCAAGATGTATGATAATGCTTCAGCTTGAACGTGAAGAAAGCTATGCTACAAAGTTTACTGGAAATTGCAAGTGCTGTGAAGAGAGAAATCACACCTTTGACAGGAATAAAATGTCTTAAACATTTCTCTTGTTCCGACTTTAATTGCTCATTATTTTGAAGCATGGCCAACATAGACTGAACAGCTTTGTTCACTTCCTCCACTGCCATTTCTAACCAACAATTCTAAAACAGTGCAAAAAAATCTGTCATTGTTCACAACTTCTTCTGTTTGCTGATTGACCAGAATTAATTTGATCAGAAAATGTTTTCAATGGGAGAAATTCTAGATGGTGCACTGAAGGGAAATGAGTATAGAGTGGATTTCCATAGATAGGAAATAGAGAAGCCACAACTGTAAAGGAGCCAAAGACATTGGATTTTCTATTAGTCGTTCATGTCAAAAATCAAGCATTTATTAGAGCAATAAAGTGTTTAACCTTGGATAGAAATCAGAAAAATGTGTAACAGAATTCTGTGGTCAGATGAGACATTAAATCTTTTTGGGCCTTGTTCTGTTGAGAGCATGAGTTTTTTTCAGTGAGAACAAAGAAGCAAGCCAAAGTCAATGGGAAGATTGATGGAGCTAATTGGAGGACAATCGTGATAGAGTACTAAAGACTTGAGACTGGAGCAGAGCTTCAGCTCCCAACAGGACTACAACCCTAAGCATATACAAGCGCTGGAGGGGAAGTGTTTCTGTAAGCAGGGTTCCACCAGGGTATTATAAGCCTGTGGGGCACCAGGCTTTACTTTCCCCCCACCAGACTAAGTGTTGTTTATTTTAAATAGGTCTTTACTGTCACTAGTGACAGTAAAGATGGATTAAGCTAAGTCCATAGCAGACAAATTTAACTGGACGTGAGGGAGTGCTCACCAATTGGGTTGTCCCTTCACTTGCTTGTTGACTTTCCAAGGTATGCCCACAGAAATACGGTGGGCAGTTGAAAGACTGCCCTAGCACCAGTACCACACTGGCCTTAGCAGGTTTTTCTGCAGGTAAACCTTTCAAAATCATGTGCTACTTCATGTTGGTACATTGTATAGAATCAACATAAAACCTTTCACATTTTTGTGGGTTTAACATGACAAAATGTAAATTAGGTCATTACCAAACATTTGCAAGACACTGCAAATGAGCACAGAGCTCTTAATTGTAGACCTACTGCACATGGGGAAACATTTCAGAGAAGATACTATCCATGTGATGAGAGGCTACAGATAAAATATTAAGTTGCACCCTCTCTTCCCCACAGCTCCCATATCTACAGAAAACCGAGGATAGCCACAATGGCTGCTGCCGAGCTTGTCAACCTCTTGATACAATAGCTTGCACACTGGAACAACCAATTTCTCTCACAAGAAAACAGTTTGTCGCAGTGCATTGTACAGCTGGTCTTTGGGATAATAGGTCAGAGTACTCTGTGTGAAATACAGTTTGACAGCTTCCCTCTCTGACACAGGCTTATGCGCGACAGGGTGCTGTAACTGTAGTTCTTTTGTGTTTTACCACAGTCTCAAAAAGTGACTGAAAGTAAGGCAGTCTCCCTCTGTCACTTCTCTCTCTCTCTCTCTTCCTAATCCTTTTTCCCCTTCCTCTCTTAAAAGCGTCAACGTGCCTCATAACCTTGCACTCCACTGAACTGTATTAGACACCTACAACACTAGACGTTTCTTTGGCTTCTCATTACGCTTGATTGACTCTGAATTGTGGGAAAAGCTTTCTCGTTTTGCTAGCCTGTGCAATATCGCACCGCACCAGATGTGAAAAATGAAATGCAATAGAGAAGTAATTGCTATTGTACCGCTTCTGTAGTCCGACAGTTTTTTGTTTACTTACTTAAAAGAGCCTCTTTGCACTTTTTCTGCACAAAGGCATTCGTGTTGTATTTCAGTTGTTGCTTGACAAAGAATCGCTGTGTGGCGTTCCATCGCTGCTCATTACAGCAGCCTGGTTCAGAAGGGGGTTATGCTGACTCTGAGCTATGTGGCTCTCCTGCTTGCCGAATCAGAAAGAAGCTTTGTATCTGCATCGCTGCACTCAGCGCGGACACTTCAGTCGGTCAAAAGCCAAGTGTCTCCCCCTTCCTTCGGGCTGGTGTTGGACATGATGGACATTTGTTACATACACCTATTTGGCTCAGATACCGCCCCTGAAGTGAAAGATTGTGTGATGCACCTCCATTTATGGACAATGACGACATAATTCTTCTGAGAGGTCTTTTCTCTTTTTCAATGGGGGCCCTGTCACCTTTGAAAAGAAGTGATAGCATATTCTTATACATGTATGTCAATCCATTGATCTCTCAATCCATTTGTTCATTCATGAGGTCCTTAAACTGAGTCGCTCGGGGACCCAGAGAATTGAGGCCATGTGTCAGGGGAGGGCCACTGACGCGCTGTAATCCAGTTTGTTTCGCTCTCTTTCCTTCGTTCTCCTGCTTTTTTTTCTGCATTTATAGTTATTGCATTCTTGGTATCTCCTTCTAAGGAAATCTCAAAAAGGGGATGGAAATAATGTGATATGCTAACACAAGGCCAAAGAGGAGTTCTTTTGATCCAGTCATTCCATCTGTGTGGACAAACACTGAACTAAGCTGTTTTTGTCTGTGCTCAGAGCTGACATTTGCGTGGATCTTCAATGAATACCCGTACTCCGTCCAACAAGACAGCCGAAGATTTATCTCCCAAGAGACCGGGAGCCTTTATATAGCCAAAGTGGAGCCCTCTGATGTGGGCAACTACACTTGTGTGGTGAACAACACAGTCACAAAACAGAAAGTTCTCAGCTCCCCAACACCCCTCGTCCTCAGGAGTGACGGTAAAAACAATAACACATTTTCTCAAGATGTGTCTATTACTGTATTTTTTGGCATTCATTTGTTATACATTTCACTATTGCTGCAATTTTATTTTCCCTCATTTTTAACAAACAAGATATTAAAACTGTCAGTAGCTGCTTTTCCATTGAGCATGTAATTGTGCAAATTGGAATTACAAAAATAAATCTACTTATTGGAAACAAGTCAATTTTGGAGAAAGCTCAAATTTTTCAATAAAACCTTTTTGCACTAGGATGAGGTAGTTTTGTTGCTGTAAATTAGTGTGTTTCACAAATCTTTTTTTCACATTACACAAGTCATTTGATCAACATCAACAATTGTTTCTACTGGCAGAAAAGATGATGAAGCGGTAGGAGAATGATGACGTGTTTTGATGATTTATAAACAAACTTATTCATGTGTAATTTTAATTGCTTCTTATCTAATGGTAACACCGCAATTCGAAAATTGTGTTTTTTCGACATTAGTGAAATATAAACAGAATAATGTCCACATTTATAGTGGAAATGCTGCTATTGTTTAATTGGGGGAAATTAAAATTTAGACGCCACAATGTTTACATTGATCATAGTGATCAATGTGAACACCAGCCAATTTGCAATGAGCAGTTAAATCCAAAAAATCCAATAATTGTTTAAATTGGCATGGTAAACAGAAAAAAGATGTGAAGAAATCCAGTGGCTCTCTGACAATTATGAATCTCTTCAGCTATAGATAGATTGTTTCACTGATGTCAAATCTTGGATGGAACAAAACTTTCTTCAGCTCAATCAAAGTAAAACTCAAGTTATATTATTTGGTCAAAGTCTTCACACTATAAATCCAGGTCTGATTCTGGGTTCTTTAGCTTGGTTTTATCAGACCTCTGCTAGGAATCTTGGTTTTACTTTTGATAGCTGTTTAAAGTGAGATAAACAAGTTAGCTCTGTCATTAAATCAAGTTTTTATCACCTGTGGATTTTAGCAAAAAGTTCAATCTTATTTTTGTTTTTATTTGTAGTAGTGTTTTGATACTCTGTTTTTATCACTTTGTGTTATTGTTGTTCTTGTGCAGTTTTGCACCTGTTTTTAAAGTGCTATATAAATAAATTTGACATTGACATAAAAGATGAAACAACATGCTGTGATTGTCGTTAACAATACAAAGCAAATTTTAAATTCTATTCAAACTGGCTTCTACAATGAGACCCTGCCTCATTGGAAACATGTCATGGAGCTTGTGAATGAGTTCAATTCTCTTTTAAATCGTCGTTTTGATGCACAGCAGACTCTTAACTAAGGAATTGGTAACCAAATTTGTTGTGGGAAGTTCAGAATATATTTTTGCAATATGTCACAGTGAAATAATGTAGCAGGGCAAATAAATAGCACATGTGTAAAATGAGTTTAAAACTAATCTGTATGGTTGATGTTTATCTTCCACCACCTGCAGCATGTTTAGTAATGATATACAGCCATTTATAGGCACTGCAGGCTTTGATGACCTAGAAAATGAAAAATCTATGGCTGCATCTCAGAGGATTATCCACATGTGCACCACTCCAACCAAACTACTGAACTGACTGGGAAGCACTTATTTTTCACACATTATTACTGTTAAATCACAACAGATTACTACTTATTATTAGCTTTGAGGGCTCCATAAAACAATACCCACATTTATCACTATTCATTCGACTTTTTAACATGAAGGCACACAGAGGACACCAAAGCTGCTCTTGCTCCAGGGCACCTGGTCTGAAACTGGTAATAGCAAAGGGCACGCTGCTATATTTGCAACAGAAGCGTGTGGCCCATCTCAGTGAAATGAATATAATTAAAGTCCTAAATGAAGTTGCTTTCATAAACCTCTGCAAGTAATCCCCACCAAGCTAATCTTTTCAATGATGTGTTCTCTGAATCTTTTATGACTCGCCTCTTATTCCTTTTCTCCTTTATAAGACCTTCAATGACCACTTTGCTACATGACCATAAAGGCTACTTGTGCTAGCTGTCCCACTCTATCAGTCCTCTGTCTCTGATCCAGACACACAGGGCAATGTCTGCAGTTTGTCAGTGCTATAAGAAAGCTTGTTGTCTGTTGTGCTCTCTTTTTGCAGGTGTAATGGGTGAATATGAGCCTAAAATAGAAGTTCATTTTCCAGATTCAGTTCCAGCTGCAAAAGAATCCGTGGTCAAACTGGAATGTTTTGCTCTGGGAAAGTAAGTCCAGCTTTCTTTAGTGTTTTAAATGAACAGTAAATTGATATCCAACATGAATTACAGCTATTTAAGCCAACAATAGCATGAAGTCTTTAACTGATTTGCCACTATATGTATGAACAACTGCTAGCATAAAAATAAAATGAAGTATGCATCAATCAAAGTTATGTACAGAGGATAAAAAATCTGAGATGCAGACTTTGAAAAATAATAAATAAATCACAAAACCTTGGTCTTACTTTCCTTCTGCTTTGAATCACACTTTGATCACAGTGACATAGCTAAAAGCCTGGCAACTTTTGTTTCCTTTTTTCTTTTTTTGCAGCCCTGTCCCAGAAATAAGCTGGAGGAGAACAAGTGGTGTCCCTTTCCCCAGCAAAGTCAAAATGAAGAATTCAAATGCCATCCTTGAAATACCTAATTTTCAGCAGGAAGATGCAGGGATGTATGAGTGCATCGCAGAGAACCGGAGAGGCAAAAATGCTGCTCGAGGTCGGATTTCTTACCATGGTAAGATAGAAGTAAAAAAATCTATTCTTCTAAAGCAGTCCTTTTGTTTCTCTAACTGTGGCAATATATCGTTGAAAATGTCATATGCTTTGAAAGTGTGATTAGGCTGAATTTATTTAAATCAGAATACATTTGAATAAAAATGAAGTTAGTTTTTGAATGTAATTGGATTGAATTCCACTTTTTGCAGATGGACTGTAAGTTATTGAAGTGACCTCTGACTTTGTTTTTACTGCTAACATATCAAACATGTAAATCAACGCTGGGTGTAATGAAATAATGACACTTGTCTTCAAACACTTTTAAAGCAATTGAACCACCTTACCTGGCGCTTTGTAATTTTCTCAATGTAAATTCATTAAATTAAATAATTAATCAGTAAAACCTCTGGAATATCTCCATTGATTCTTATGAATCCAAAATCTTTCATTATATCTTCAGACCTGAAGGTAGATTTACACCCCTTTTAGTCAAATATCAAAAGTAAATTAATTTTAATTAATAATGTTATTTTAGAATATTTTATGTGTTTGAGTCTATAATTTGATAATTTTCTAAAATATCAGAATTCTCTAGTTTAATAAATTAATTCAGTTTAGACTTGACTAGTCTGTAGCTTATATTATAGTTTTTTATTCTTGTCAATTCTAAGGTGGTCCAATAGCTAAAGAAGCTAGAGCTGTTAGTGTGCTTTACAGGAAGTCAACACAACAGGGGGTCTTTCTTAGCTCAAAATAAAAGTCTCATTTTGAGAGACTTTTAGTTTCAGATAAGTGTGAAACTGAAAGCACACAACTTTATAACAAGGGCTCCGATCAATACTTGATACTTCACCTGTTAAAGTTGGATAAGACTTTGCAAAATGGATACCATATTGTTCTAAAATTGTGAGATCTGATGGATTTATATCTCGTTAAATCCTTGTTTTGATAACCATGCGCTAAAAGTGCTTCAATGCAGTATCACTCATTGCCAAGATGTGTCCAAGAGCCATGATAATTAAAACATGCTTGAGCAGGTAATCCTCTCATTTTTTTTTTCAAGCTAAACCTCAGTGGCTCCAGACAATAACAGACACGGCTCGGTCCATCGAGGAGAATCTCTTCTGGGAGTGTAAGGCCAATGGAAAGCCAAAACCGTCCTACAGCTGGCTGAAGAATGGCGAGCAAATGGTGACTGAGGTATGAGGTTTCGTTGCATTTTTGCTTCAGTTATAATGAGGAGACAATGCACAATTGCCAGCGTGAAAAAGATGAATAATAGTCAGCAATCTGTTCCTCCACATCTGCATAGAAGGTGCTTTGTTGAGTGTATCACCACACTGGAATGTTTGTTGTGTTTCTCACAATTTGCATATTTGCAGAATGATTTCATGACTTGATGGGATAACACACAGTGTATGTATAAATTAAATGATAAAATAGTTTTATTTTTTAATTTGGGTTGTCAGTTTTTACTGGGTTTATTTTTCTTTTACATTTTTACAGTTATGTTGAGCTTAATTGTCCTAGAGAATCACTGGGAATGAGAACCCAAGTTCATCATCATCCAATTGAAAGTTTAAGAAGCTAGGCTAACTTGTTCTTAGCAAAATATTCAAATATTTCAATCATTTTTACTTGTTAAAGTACAAACAAGTAAGTACAAGTTGTTGAATGTGAAAACAAAACATTTGTCACTGCATCTACCACAATGATTTATAGGCATTGCTGTCATTTTGGATTAGTAGGGCAAGCCGTTAGTTTCATGTTCACCTTAAAGCATTCAACATGCTAAATTAGCAACCGGGGGTGCAGAATATAAAGGGTGCTCTGAGTTTAGGTGATTATTGGGGTTTTGCTAAGATGCTAATAGTTAACTGTTCCATTCAGGGCCAGAGACTAGTAAAGGGGCAGGTGTTCAAAAAAAAAAAAAAAAAGGGCACATCAAATCACATTTCAGGACAGAATATGAACAAAGTCACACAGCTCTCAGAGTTTAATTAACAATGATAGATTACAAAATTGTGAGACATACAATCAAAGAACATCTGCTTGGGTTGCTGTACTTGCAGTGGAGATGAAGACGGTCCATTCAGAAAAGCAGAGCTGCATCAAACTTTAACGTGGAAATGCAGGAAAAAAACAAAAGCAAAAATGTAATTAATGCATGTCACTATGAGAAAAGACTACTCTAATTGTGTTTTAGTGTATTTTGTAAGTACTTATGTACATTTTCTTCAATCTTTCCTCTTTTTTTTCTTGTCAGTTTCTCTTTTCTTTTTTTCCTCATTGTCTCATCTTCTCTGTGTTGAGTGAAGTCTTATTTATTTCAGTCTCTTGCCTTTTAACTGTTTAAAAACAAATTTCAAACTTTTAAGCATTTTTTGCTGTTTTTGTTCTCTTTTGTTCATAGCAACAGTTTTCTGTTGGTCATGTCTTGAAGAATGTTAATAACTTCACTGTGAATGATTGGTACAGTTGACCCAGTTGGTAAATAATCCACTGCCTTTCTTTTTGTTTCTGATGTCTCTCTTTATGTGGCATCTTTGAACTGAAAAAAGCAAAACAAAGAATTATGATCAGAACACTATAATAAACCACACTACCAATTCTTTACCCTTGTGTTTAAACCAATGTTTTTCAGTCCATAGCATAACAATATTAATTTCAGAGAAAATGAGACCTCTCTATGGAGTTCAATTTGTTTCACAATTATTCAATTAAAATACTAACCTCAATTAAATAATATAAAATTGTGATCAAGACATTTTGAATTGTAACATTTTTTTGAACAAAAAAATGTTTAACTTAATTTAAAAAAAAAACTGAAATTACAATTTTTATCTCATGACTTAAAAAATTATTTGTAAAACAAACAAACTTATTTGTGCATGTCAGAAATTTTTGCTTGCTATTCAAAGTTTTGCTTGCGATTCTCACATGAGGTCTGGGGAGAGCCTAAAATCAAAACCAAAGATTTCTGATGTGTGCAAATAAAAGTTTATGTTTGCCCCTTCATTAATGACATGCTTTATTGGACAGAAACAGTTTGATTATTACATACATTATATCTATCATGGTAATTCAATGAATATCCTTGTTAGACTTTTATTTAAATTCTCCTTCAAGATACATTTACCTAACGCTACAATAAATGCAATATACATCATTCACCAAAAAAAATTAGAAAATCGGACATATATCCATTATGGAGATGATAGGTTTTGGACGGGCGATGTGCCCCTATTGCATAAGTAATACTGAAGAATGACTACTGTCATTAACAATACAGGGAAGCTATTTAGTTACCTTGCTTTGCTAGCAAAGTCATTAGCTAGCAGCTAGCTTATAGCACAACAACAGCCTAATGTCTGATGATAAAAATACTGGATCGATAGATAAGAACAGCTTTTTCTCACCTGTCTGTCTCCTCCCGCTCAGTTTATTCAGAGAAAGGCGGACTTAGAGACGTATATTCTCTAAGACGCCTGTCTTGTTATATTTCATTTCTGCTTAAACCGCGACTCCGTGCTGAAGGAGAAACGATACAACATTTAACGTTTTCCGTTATCTGACAGTAGCAAGCCGACTCCAGTGTTTTCACCAAAAATATTTTTTTTCAGTTCACCAAAAGCTGTTTTGTAATCTGGAACGTCTCTAGCTTGAGCTCCACAGTTAGCCGCCTTATCTCATCGCGCAAGAGGCAAGTGCGTCGTGCGTCACGGGCAAAAGGTCAAAGGTAACAATGTGACCAGAGGGCTTATTGTGTTGTTTTTCTTGCAAAGTAATAATAATAATAATAGTAATAATAATAATAATAGTAATAATTGTAGTACATGTGTAAGGGAAAAAAAACCCAAAAGGGCACTTGGGGCCATGGAGCAATAGGGGCAGGTGCTCAAGCCCCCAAAGCACCCCCCTCTGCACGCGCCTGGTTCCATTGGTTCAGTTGCAAACCTATGTGGATGTTGTATCCACGAGATTTGAGAGCTATTGTGCTCTCCAACTTGACATGTCAGTTTTTTGACATGTCAAGAAGTAGCAGAATGGTGTGTCTTGTAAATAATTGGCCATTTTTCCATCAATGTGTTTTTGATGATGGAAATTACAAAATTCAAAATAACGTCCTCAGTTTTGCAAAAAATAAAAATTAACTTAGTTTGAGGTGTTTTTTGGCATTCTTGAGTAAGAGTTGATGGACTAAAGGGAAGATGGAAACAGGTTTGCTGTTCTGATGTAGCAAACATTTATCCGATGCAGCCATTTAGAATCAATAGAATTGCATTTCTTTCTCTGCATCTCAAAACAGCATGTAGCACTGCTAATACTAATTGTTTTTTCTTCCCCAAAATACTAGTAAAGGCAAAATCAGGGGCACTTCAGAGTTTTCGTCAGTGTATTTTAAGCCTGGCGAGCAACCAAGCTTTTCTTGCTCCCCCTCCTGACTTCATTTAAAATAGTTTTTTATACACCAGTAACAATAAAGGCAGATTAAGTGAGTTTTATAGTTGACACATTGAATTGAGTGTGAGGGGATGCATACTCAATTGCCTGTTGGCTTTTGAAATTACTGTGCTTGCCCAAATGTTAAAACTTTTAAAAATTATTCACACAGAGGACTGCTCGAGTTCACCTACCACCGGGCTTAGCAGGTTTTCTGGAGGAAACCCTGCACATGTAGCAGTTTCAGAACCATGGCTCTAGTACATAGAGAAATAGATATTAGAATGGTAGTTGTCTTGATTGCACAAGAAATCACATCAACAACCTTATCCAACATGTCAGCCGCTTTAAAAGCATAATAGCTCTCCCTTTAGCTTGACAGAGCTCTTACTTAGCAGCTGGATAATGGAAGAAAAATGAAGGCAAATGCACAAACGCTGTCTTGGGAAGAGAAAATAACCCATTCAAACTAATTTCAAAGAGATGTAAATGTATAGAGCCTATACATATATGTTTATTTTGATCTTTCTAGTAAGCTTATAGCTAATTTAGGGTGGTATATCGACTGTCATATTGTGAGAGTACAATTAAAGAAGTCTTGCTCATGTCTCCCCCTGCAGCAGTCTGGATCTCGCACCAGCTTATTTGGTTAAAGTCACTCATTGGTTGGAAACGCCATCACAGCATTTCCAGTTGAATGTTTTACTCAAAATAAATGACATTTTAATAGATTGTGTGTGCTTTTGCCAGAAATTCGTAATTTCTGCATCTCATATTTGAATTTGCAGTTTTAGCAACTTGCATTCTCGCCTCTTCCACTCTGAATACCTGGAGACACCAGGATTCTGTTTTGTGATATTTTCCCTCCTCTGCTGTCCTTCTCTCTTCACGGATGCATGAATAATTGCCTGCTGTGCCTTTTGGACATAAGAAAGGCACAGCGTATCTCTAGTCTTTGCAAGAGATATGCAGAATTATTTCTCTTTTTGCTCCGCAGGCCCGGGTACAAATTGAAAACGGAGCCCTCTCCATAACCGCGTTAAACCTATCAGATTCCGGGATGTATCAGTGTGTGGCTGAAAACAAACATGGCAGTATTTATTCCAGTGCCCAGTTAATGGTGTTAGGTAAGATTGCTTCCCTTCTCCTGCTCTCGTTCTGCTTATCTTTCAGTGCATCTGATCATCTGCTTAGATAAGGAAAGCAGCCTCGCTGTATAATGTTCCTGAGAAACCAGTCTGCGCCCTCATTTGATGTCACCGTGGGGCTCTGCCTGGCCAAAGTATAAATCTGATAGAGTGTCTCATTTTACTTCCAGTCGTTTCGTCCATTGATTGGGGATAGTACGAAGGCAATGCCTCGTGGCATTGTGCATGCTGCCTCATGTAGACCCTGTATCGATTTATTTGCAAAGCTTTGATGACTGGCTCCATGAGAAATTCAATTCTCTCTCTTGGTAACGCGATGAACACTTGATGGTCCTAATGAGGGCCCGCTTCAATGTGATGATGAGAATAGGCTGTAGGACAAATTTATGATAAACAATATGATGTTTATCAGCAGCTGAAGAATTTACTGCACAGTTTTGTAATGAAGTTTCATTAAAAGCATAAATTTTGAAAATGTCATTTGCATTTAAAACCAGATATGTTCATATACATAACATGAAGACTTCAATATTTTCCCACACATGATGTGTTTGGATTGTTTCAGTATTGTGAATATTACTCCTGATGACTCATTAATTTATTGATCTGTATTTTGAAATAATCGTAAACTAATTTACAAATCAATTGGTTGTTGTCAGGAGTGAAGTCTAAAAAATATTTGCTGAAATAGCTATGTGGTCAAAAAAATAATTAAACCAAAACTTTACAAAAAAGATGGAAAAAAAAACCTTCTACAGAGCTGCAATTTAACCATTTGATTCATTTGCAAAGCTGGAAAATACTTTAGAACCAAATGCATTGAGGTTTGCAGCTGCAACATCACAAAATGTTTGAAAACTTCAACCGGCATGAGTGTTACACAAACACTCATGTTTTCTCCTATATTTTTCCCAGCCTCACGCCATCTTTCTGCTCCTTTACGTGCAGCTTCCGCTCCCAGTTTCTCCAGAAGTCCATTAAAGGCCTTGCTAAAAGCTCGCTCAGGCAGCGAAGTCACTCTGGAATGCAAGCCTCAGGCCTCGCCCCCAGCAATTAGCTTGTGGAAGAAGGGGAACGAGATTCTGCAGAGAACCGAAAGGTAGGATGAGAGTCCAAACACACATTTCCAGTGGCTCTCATTCACATTCACCGCAGGCTGGCTCACTTCAACGCCGTGTTTGGCATTTGTGCTCCTGCATAAAAGAGGAGACTAATGAGGGGAAAGAGAGTGGGGGAAAATTCACACAAATGGTAGTTAATATACTGTGTGCTCCTTCATATGGAAATTGCTGGATATGAGATATGAAGATGCCAGGTGCTAGTATCAACACTACACGTGTTAAATAAGTAGGTCAATAAAATTAGAAAGTTGTAAAAATAATTAGGACAATAAAACAAGAAAGCAGTAAAGAATGCAAAGTTGTTTTTTGTTTTTGGAAAGTGAAAGATATTTAAGCATGCACCTGCAATTATCTCCTTTATGAGTTGTTTAAAACTATTGGAATGCGATTGATGAAACTAACAAGACTGCAGAGATGAAAGCTTGCAGTCGATCAGGTGGTCTGGGGGGCGGGGGCCTCACAAGACTGGAAATCTCTGCATCAAGACTAGCAAGCAACATCAAACAGCAACTTTAGCTGCATGAAGCAGGTGCTTCGTTTATTTTTCCTCGCTCGTCTCTCTGTGCATTGTTGGACTATACAGGAGTTTACAGAAAGCAACAAAAAAGAGACAAATCACAGGATTGCAAAATCAGAGACGCATAGTCAGATCAATCCGTCCGCATACATTCAGATAACTAAGAGAAGAAAAGACAACTCTGGCTCGCTCAGGAGTTCCCAGAATGAAGAACAATGCAAGCGAAGAACCACAACCACACAGGAAGGCCAGGCCATGTCTGTAGCAGGAGATAATTGGCACACTGTAAAAAAAAAAAAAAAAAAATTTTTTTACAATTTACAGTAAAAAAAAAATTCTAAAATATCAACAGCATTATATTACTGTAGAAAGTACACACAATTGCTGTAATTCAAGAAACATAAATTTGATGCAATTTTTACAGTTTTAAAATGTAGAAAACACTGAAATTTATTGTTAGAATCTTAGAAACTGTAAAGTTTATAGAAAAATATCGTAATATTGCCAGCAGGTAATCTAACCAGCAGAGGCTAACGAATGGTGCTCCAATCTACTGTACAGCTGTTCTAACTCATTTCTGCTAATCCTCTCTGCTATAATTTCACTGACTTATTTTGTGATGTAGAAGTTGGGTAAAATGCGACATGACCGTTCAGACTAAAGGCGATTTTAAAACTTTTAAATTGGTTACACATCTAATTTGCTACCACAGATGGAAGTGGTTCAAATTCAAATTGGATTTTTGGGAGGTGAAAAGAGCAAAAATATCTACTGCTATCTGAAATTAGCCTTAGTCAAATCAAATAGATGCATACATTTTCAAGATTTGCATAAAATTCAAATTCATGGAGTGACTTCTGAAGACATCTGGTTGGTTTGGATTCTAGTTAGGGACATAGCAAAAGCAGTTTACACATATTTTTTTAAAACATTGTGAAAAAACCATGTGTTAGTTTCCATTAAACTTCACAATCATGCACTACTTTCTTTGTGCTGTTCCAGAGCTTAAAGTCCCAGTAAAAGTCCCAGTTGTGAAACTTTCAAAAGTTATGAACACTTTGTAGGTGAAAAGTAGAATTTTCTTTTATTTTGTGTGATCTGTGCATGTTTTCTTTTCCCTGATGTAGTTCTATGCTACTATGTCTAACTTTCAGATTTTGGTCTATACTGCTATATTTATGAACATGTTTTAATTTTCTATTGTGTCAGAATAATATTTATTCTGACACAGAAACACATTTATTTATTCATTATTATATTTAAGAATGCTCTTTGTGAAGTGTTTTTTTTTTTAACCTTATAATAGGTCCCAGAGTTCAGCTTGAAACCTACCTTTAAAAGTTTCATTTTCCTTGAAAAGCTTTGAAATACAATCTAGGCCATGTTGTGTAATCATTGCTTTATTCTGTTTTCTTTTTTCACAATTTTGACAGAAATGTAGTAAAAAAGACACCATGACAAATTAATATGCGTAATTCACTTAATACAAAGAAAATGTGAACTCTTAACCTTGTTTAACTTAGTAAAAAAACATTTCTTCCTCCCACAGGATCACTCTGCTGCCAAATGGAACTTTAAAAATTGCTAACGTAACCAAACGGGATGCAGCTAGCTACACGTGCATCGCCAAAAACCAGTTTGGAACAGCAAGTGCAACTGGGAAGCTCCTCATCACTGGTATGACCTTCTCTGTTAACTCCAGAGGAATTGGCATGTACTCACTTTCCAGTTAAAACAGTTTTTCAAAACATCAAAATGCTGTTAATGAAATCAATTAAATATGTTTAATTTTCCCCTGGTGGATTGCGTCAGACTGAAGACGCTGGCTTGTGTTAACTCAGTGGGTGTAAAGTCAAAAGTCACAGACATTTTGACGTTTACAAGACAAGCAGTGTGTGTTCACTCAAATTTAAAAGTTCAAGCAGCTCAGATCAAACTGGCATTGACTTAAAGGTCCCAATGTGTAATGACATTTGATAAGACATTTGCAGTGAGATAAGCCCCTCACTGCAATAAAATTCAATGTCTCAATAACTCAATAACAAATGGGAGATTTTATATATATATGTGGGTGTGTGTACACACATACATATACTGAAGGAGATAAATTAAAGGCAGAGTCTTTTGGTCACTGTGTGTTAGTTATTCTATTTTGAAAGGGCATAGTTCAGATAGATGTATTATTACCTCATTAGCTGGTCATCAGGTCCAACAGAAGATACTTTATGAGACTTTAATATGAGCCAGGTGTGCAGAATAGAAAGTCTAGAAAAAGATGTTTGGATAGGACAGGAATGCATTGTCCAGAGTTAATGAAGTCCAAGCCAAAATGTTTTCCCGGATAAGATGTAGTGTTGTGTGTGTTTTTTGATGTACTTAATTGCCGCAAGCTGGTTTTTGATCAATTGTTGACCAGCGTTTTGAAGTCCTCTTCACACTAACAAGGACATTTTGCAAAAAAGTTCAACTTTACATTTTAAAACACTTTCTTTAATATGTTTTCTGCTCAGTCTGTGTAGCTGACAGTACATTTAAAAAGAGAAAGGAATGTGAACAATTGAAAGAAAGTTATTCCAGGTCAGTGACATAAATTGAGGTTTGTTGCTGGTGAGGCACTGACTTAATCCTAATCAGATTTACAGTAAATGTTTTGTGTGAAAAATGGTGAGAGAATGAACTTTTGAAGCTGCTTTGTATCAAAGATCCTGTCTCATATAGAAAGTACACTTTGAAAAAAAAGAACGTTACAAAAATTTAAGCGATCACTATTTTACTTTACGGGTTCTGTTCACATGGGAACATTAGTGACAGTGCACTGCCTCCAATCTCTATTTTCTGTGAAAATAAACTGTGGTTTTTGTCTTAATATGACAAACAGTTATAAAATTAAATTTGCTGCCTCAGCCTCTCAGACCAGTTAATTTGGATTTCTATTGAAGGGAATAAATTACTTTTTAAAAATCTGACATTCTTTAGGAATGTTTTCACAGTGCTTCATATAGTGTTCTGAATGATGAACACATAAATTGCTCATTAGGACGCTTGTAAATGTTTGTTGTTGTTGCATTGATGTTGAATGTCAAATGAACAAATAGTAACAGCTGTGGCTTACTCTGCAGACACACCAGTAAAACCATCTTAATTGGATGGGGATATGTCATAAGGAGTTAAATTATTTGGTTTAATACCCTGGTGTTGACATATCGTTTAAATATATATATATATATATTTACTCCTCAGAAGTGCAGTGGAGAATCCTGAACTTTTCTAAAAACCACTCTTCCCTCATATCCTTAGCATATAAGGATATATACCCAACATTAGGTTCCCACTAATGATAATAAGCTGGTTATGTACATTTCCATTCTTGGAAAGGCTTATAAAGAGAAATCATCCATCATACTCCATAAAGGCCCAATTATTACTTTGTATAAAGTTATTATTGGAGAACAGCTTATTGGCAAATGATTGGATTTTTCGCAATTCTTGTAAAGTAAAGGTCCATTTGTTGGCAGGCAATGGCTGGAAAATGTCTTGATTTTCTTCTCTCTTTCCTGAGTTATATTGCATATATACAATGTTTTCAAGTGGTGTTTATTGCCTGATAAACACAGCTGATATTACACATTCCATATATAAGTTAAGTAGCAATAAACACTATCCTTGGTGTAGTTAAAGGTCATTATCTAAGAGCAGTGGCATAACATATTTATGTAGCCCTGCTGGCCTAACTGCCATTTGTAACCATCAAATTTATTCTCATTAGCTTCTCATTCTTTTCTTCCACTGACAGCTGAACTATTTAACGTCACAGGATTTAATTACTTTGACCTTTCCTCAAAGTACTCTGAGGTCTCCAATCTGCCACAGCTAGGAACTCACTCTGCTCTCTGCATATCTGTTGCTAGAAACAGTAAATACAAACTCCACCAGCGGCAAGAAATCACAACGTTTGTTTAGGCGAGTGTCTGCTGACTGTTTAACTGCGGCTAATTGGTTTTGTTGTGAATTGCGGTAAGATGGTGGTGGGGTATTTTCATGCATGCGCTATCATCTGTTTGGCCAGAGCCCACCAGAATCACTATGAGGCCCACTAACATGGAGATTATTGTTGGCGAGAGCATCGTGCTGCCCTGCCAGATCACTTCTGATCCAGCTCTGGACGTCTCCTTCTCATGGGCGTTCAACGGCCAGCTCATCGACTTCCAGAGAGATGGTGACCACTTTGAAAGAGTGGGTGGGGTAAGTCGTTCTCAAGGCGTTTGAACTTTGTTACTTTTCTGCCAGTTTGGGGTTTAATTGGGCGATGATATGCTCCACTGTGAGGATAAGGGCCTCTTAGACAGCAAATAATACCCAAGGAGGAAAAGTTATGCCAAGAAAAACTCTTTTCTAAAGCTTCTCAGTTGTCAGTGGTGACCTGCACATTAAGGACTGTTAGTTTTTGTTTAATATCAGTCATTTAAATCTGACAAAGCCTCAACAAATGAATGTTAGTGAGAGATTTTGTTGTCTGGTACCACCTGCAAATTTTCTAAATCTCCCACCTGTTAATAATCATTGTTGCTAATTCAAATTTTTGTTTTATAATAGGATCTAAAAATACACCTGCATAACAACAAACACTGAGAACTCCTCACTTACCTCTACTCCTATAAAATAAAAAATAAAAAACAGGTCGAACTTTTTGTTTATTTCAAGACATAGGACGAAATACTATTTATTTTCTATGAGTTTCATTCAAAACAAAAAGGAAAAAAAATGTGTCCAATGTAACGTTTTAACGTAAATAGTCAAAGGTTTCACCACAAAGGTGATGAAATGTTGAATATATTAGTTTTGTTTTGTGGTTTAAGCAACATTCAGTTTTTATGCTGCACTAATCTGGAACAAACTTACAGAAAACTGTAAAACACCTGAAACACTGAGCTCTTGTAAATCAAGACTGAAAACCATCCTGTTTAGAGCTGCCTTTGTTTCATAATAACTGGAACATCAATCAACCTAATTATTATGCATTTGCTTGATAAATGTAATTTGACACAATATTAAATTTAATTCTTGTGGAAATGTTTTTTGTTTTTTTTTCTTTTACGTTTGCTGATATTGAGAAAGTTTTGAGCACATTTGCAATGGAAACACAGCTACTGATACAGATAGCTAATGGCTAACTGAATTGTGGGTCTGCAGAAACATCTTTCAGACTGTCCAGACTGTCCAGACTCTGTAAATTTTATGTGATAGAGCAACACATAAAATTTGTTGGTGTATTTACCAGATGAAGTCATCATGAGGTCTATATCCATAATTCTTCCCTTCTTAAACTGCCATGTGAGCTTCCACATCTTTACACCTCTAAAAATACTGCAAAATGCTATTTTAATTACAAAGGGTCCTGATTAATAAAGTATGTCTACTTTTCCATCCTTTCAACTTGTAATTCCTGAACGTCAAGAGAGAACATTTTCTTATCATCTCCCTCTGCCATAATTGAATTTGCATACCTATTTATGAATCTTGAGCCCAGAAATAATTAAGTAATGAGCCGCCTTGCTTTTCACCAAGGGCAAGCCTGACACCAGTAAAGTGTTCATTTGAAATCCTTAGACCTTCAAAATAATGACTTTTCCATCAAATGTTTGTTCCCTTTGAAGAAGGGCAGAGTTAATTGTTCGGCGCTTGTCGTTATATAAATAATTACTCACTTGCTCGCTCTCATTTTGCTTTATGCATCGCAATATATCAATTAGCGCCAGTCATGTGCCAAAAGGTTGATATTATATTGGGAAGACCCGGCCGGTGTTGCGGAATGCCAAGCCGCAAGTCTTCATTAACGCAAGTAGCAATTACTGGTGACATTGAGCGGTGCAATGGCTTTTAATGAGATATAGTTTCACCCAGAATCTGTCCACAGAGATTACCAGGACACCGCTTAAAAGCTTCTGATGAATTAATTACCATAATTAAAAGAAAACCTGCCCTCATCACTTCCTTCCCCGCTAAGACAAGAGGCCTTGGAAGTCATTCCTAGCTCCCAGCTTGTCCAGGTGGCAGCTGACACCAGAGTCTGACTCGGTGCATAAAAGCTGTCGGATACAGGCAAAGGAGATGGAAAAAGATTGCTGAAGGAGAAAAAGGGAAGTAGAGGTAGAGTTTTCCTCCCATGGCCTGCATACATTTGGCTTTGCTCTCTTTGTCTGGAGTCCCTCAGAGAAACGGCGATCCACCTTCCTCCCTTTCACTGTCGTGGCAGAGTGGAGGTACAATGACTAAGCCACCAGGCTTGATGAAATCTGCTGCGACTGTGGAGAGTCTTACCTGGTTTGGCCCCAGGTGACTGGCTTCTAAAGCAGCGTACCTCTTTTTTTTCCCACAAGCTGACACGCTTTGTGACAGGAGGTGACTTTCAGAGGCAGATACCATCAGCAGTCACAACAAGGACACAATGAAATTGTCTGGATAAAATTTGTCCCCATGAGATTATGTCTAACTTTTCTTTTTTTTTAATTTTGCCTCGAAACAAACGTCATTGTCTTTGACCTTTTAGTGTAAATGGACTCATCCCTGCCAAAGGGTCCTTTTCAGACTGCATCAACATTACTTTAACAAGTCGAGTGATGCATGCGACTCACCGCAAGATGGGTCTAAAAATATCTTGATGCCAATCTGACACAAACATGCCTAGAGACGGTGCATCGCCTGAGTTTTAGACAATGTCATTACATGCCCAATGCCTCTGTGGCTTTTTTTTGATTCTTTCATGCACTAAAATGCCTAATGTTAGCCGAGTAATGTAAAACATCTATTTTGAAATGATGAGCTTAGATATGTCTGTCTGTGTTACATTGTTATGGAGCCATCAGAAATATTACCTCTGTGCCCTGAGCCTGATATATCTGATTTCTTATAGAAGTTGGATCCAGCTGTCCAAATACCCTACAAATAACATTCCCTGGATCAACTATGGCATCTTCTGTCACTGCAGCACTGCAGCACTGGCTCTATTCAATTTACACGTGTTGCATTTAGAAATTCAATTGCTCACTTTATCATCAGCAAACAAACAATTCATTCTATTTTAATCTGCAAAAAGCACTGTTTCATTAAATTTAGGGGTTGCATATATTTACATCAACTTTTATTCATGTGTATTTTAAGTATTGCAAAAAGGTTGATGGAAATGGCAAAATTTTAAATAATTTCCTCATTTTGCTAAGTTAAGCTACACCTTAAAAGGGCTTTTTTGTCAAGTCAGTTCCTTATCCTATGTGTTGAGTGCTGGGTATGAGCAACCGAATGCCACTGATTTTTAACTGAAGCAATTTTTTGATATTCTGTTTTATCTACTTGTGTTACTGTCGTTCCTGTGCAGCACTTTGGTGCAGTTTTATACCTGTTTTAAAGTGCTATATAAATAAATTTGACATTGACATTGACTGATTTCTCTGCTTGTAGAATGTAATGTGTGCATGTGAGTAAAAAACAAGAACTTTCATATAAAAACAGGAACTTTTTGTTGCAACTGCCAGAGGCAGACAACCTCTGGCCTGGTCAACGCATTTCAGCACATTTTTCAATAAAAATCAGTCTAATTAAAATAACACAAAGTAAAAGCCAAAACATATAAACACAAATATATATCAATCAAGAAGAGCTACAGGCTTAAAATATTTTGACACTGTAAATTTATGTTAGAAAAATTCCAAGGAGGAGACTATAACTAACAGCTATTGATAGAAAACAGTGTGTCAAAGTTTTGAAGATACTAATAACTTCATAAGGATCGAGTGACTTGAAGAGTCAGCGGGTAAAACACATTCCACCTGCTGGCTGAGCCTGAAGATGCTTAGCCCCGTTAGCAGAGCTACCAAATTCTCAGAATTCTGACTTTTGATCTTGCAATTTCAGTGGCCCTAGTCCTCTTCTGTAGAAATCAGGCCAAGCATGTTAGGTGAATTCCCTTCTCTTGTTCTTGGTTATACTAGAAAACATCTGTTGTCAGAGTGCTTTCCTACATGGTAACCATATGCTGGCAACTCTTGTATAATATTTGCTTTTTACGCTGGGATTTACAGCCATATAATGCTTGAGTTTCTGTTATTATAGAATAATGATTGCCAATTAGCTACAGTGTGTTTGTTCAGGGTGTCCTGTGTGAAGCTGGTAACTGTTTGCAGGTCGGTTATCGCCTGAAGGACAGCCAATAGCTTTATTTGTGCAGACTGCATCTGCCAGGTGGTTGTTTGGACAGAGGCGGAGAAAAGTAAAAAAAAACTGTGGCATGGCTCTTGAGTTTTTTTAAATTCTAAAGCATTGTGCCAAAAGTCTGCTGACAAAATAACACTGCGTCTCCCACTTAGCCTGGTTTTCTTCCCCTCCTCCAGACTGTATCAGGGGACCTGATGATCCGCAACATCCAGCTGAGCCATGGAGGGAAGTATGTGTGCGTCGTCGACACAGACGTGGAGAGCCTGTCCACCTCTGCCATCCTGGTTGTCAAAGGTAACTCTGACTGATTGCAGCGGCTTGTTTGCACACGCCAATTCAAGAATAACCTGGTGTGTTTACTTAGAGGTAGAAGTCCTTCCAAAGTGAAAGACGTCTGACAGATCGGTGAGAAAAATCCCCTAGGCTCTCCAGGGGGGGGAAAAACTTGTGTAGGAAAGCAAAAAAAAAAAAAAAAAGATGGACTTTGCCAGAGCCCAACTTCTGTCAGCTTCAGTTAATATCATATAAATACTGCTGAAATGTAAAAATTGACTGACAGTGGCATGGGCAGCCCTGGGTTGAGTTGTGCCATTTGTTTTCTGCTTGCTGCATTGAGCACAGTAAGCAGGCTGAGCCCAGATTATCTCACTGACAGGCTTGTTCTTAATAAACCTTTATAGGTGTGCCAGGTGCTTTGAGGAGACAGTGTTTATCACGGAAAATTACCATAGTTAGCTCATTTGCACATTGGAAAATGTCATGGAGAATATTTGAAAAGCAGAGCACCATGACACAGTCACCAGAGTGTCCTCAGTTTTGAACAAACAGCCCACCCAATTTGTCAGTACAACAATTAGTTCACACACAGCGTCAACACACACCAGATCTGGATCTTAATTAAAATGAAATAAAAGCCTAAATATGTATGGTGAGAAATTTGGTTCAACATTGGAATAACTGAACATAAAATGTAAAAAACTTGTCAAAAAAAAATATTTTTACAGTAATTTATTGTGTATGTGAAATAATCAAATCTACATTTATGTAATGTGCTATTTTTTCAAAATTTGTTTTTTCAAATGTATTTTTTTTTCAATTATTTTTGGAAAACCAAGATCAAAAGAAATGCTTTATAACTTATGTTTTCCCTTCAAATTTTAATTTGTGAAATGTGTTCTTTTTGCTTGCAATAAGATTCTTGCCCCTTTCGGAGGGAATGCCTGAAATGGGGAACAGAATCTGCAATTCATAAAACTCAGTCTCACAATTTTTTGTGGACAAATAAATAAAAAAACATAATTCAGAAAAGAAGTCTGAAAAAACATATAGTTTTAAATAGCAACATGCATAAATATAGTTTCAAATTTTGCATCCATCCATCCATTTTCTGAGCACCCTTCTCCCTAGCGGGGTCGGGAGGTGCTGGTGCCTATCTCCAGCTGCGTTCCAGGCAAGAGGCGGGGTACACCCTACGACAGACTGGACAGGTTGCCAGTCTGTCGTAGGACAAACAACCATACACACACACACACCTAAGAAGAATTTGGAAAGACCAATTAACCTGACAGTCATGTTTTTGGACTGTAGGAGGAAGCCGGACAACCCGGAGAGAACCCACGAATGCACAGGGAGAACATGCTAACTCCCGTGCAGAAAGACCCTGGGCCGGGAATCGAACCCAGGACCTTCTTGCTGCAACAGCGCAACCAACTGCGCCACTGTGCAGCCTCAAATTTTGCATACACATTGTAAATTATCGCCAGAACATGAGAAGTTTTTCAGTTACATATTTTAAATGCATTTTTCTTTATTCAAATTAAAATTTTTGAAAGAGAAGTTATTTGCGCCTGATGCTTTTTACAAGGTTAGGGTTAGGGTTATACTACACAATTTACAAATAATAGAATTTGTAAAAGTCAGTATCAAAAATATTTTTGATACTGACTTTTACAAATCAAAACAAAAAGAAGCAAAAGGAAAATCTGAAAAAATAGCATAAGTGACATGGTAAATTCTGCCAAAACTTAGTTTTTGTGAATAACTTTTCAGTCTCAAATGCTTTTTTTTTTTTTTTTTCAAATTTAAAGTTTTGCAAAGTGTTCTTTTCCTGTAGTAATATTGGAACAAATTTCTACCGTAAATATAAAAATCGCCAAATTTTTTAGGCTTCTTGAAATGGGTGATCACCTTTTCTTATTCCATGTCTGATGTCTCCAGGTCCTCCAGGCCCTCCGGACAAAGTCTCAGTGGAGGAAATCACAGACAGCACAGCCCAACTGTCCTGGATTCCTGGTAGAGACAATGGCAGCCCCATAACGGGCTACATCGTTCAGGCTCGCACACCGTTCACTGTGGGCTGGCAGGCCATAGACACTGGTATGTCCTTGTTGCATTCATGAACAGGATATTTGTGCAGACGTCTTTTTATTTTTTTGTCACAATATGATTTTTTTTTCAGTCCCAGAGGTTGTCAATAGCAACATGCTAACTGCCACTGTGGTTGGTCTGAATGCCTGGGTGGAGTACGAGTTCAGGGTGGTGGCCCGGAATGTTGTGGGCCTCGGAGAGCCAAGTCCAGCTTCCGCCAAGACCAGAACAGAAGATGCTAGTATGTAAAACTGTCTTCCATTCAGATTAAATTCAGTTTGGGTGTTTGCATATTTTAGTCAAATTTTAGTCTGAGACAGTTTGTATCATTTCCGGGTCTAGAAGAACTGAGAGGTTAGTGCAAATAATAATAAATAGCACCTAATTATCACCTTACATGGTTAAACAGAGCAGTGAAACCTCCTCGACAAAGAGAAAAACATTTAACAGCAGTTCCACAAAAACATTGGAGACGCTAAATTTACTTTTAGAAATATTTTTGAACATGCAAATTATTGTGACATTTGTAGAAAGCAATTAACATTAACGTTAAACTTCAAAGAAGCATCAACAACAGAGTATCAAATAAAAAATTAATTACCTTCTACAATTATAAACCCACAAGAAAGGTAGAGGGAGAAGTGAAAGGTGCTCAGTTGTCTTGAAACAGGAAGTTAAAGGGAAAATGTTGCTGTCAGTCAGAGCTTCAGTTCTTCTGTCCACTCTGCATGTTATTGAAGCACACATCGCTGTCCATCGATTGGTCTGTTTAAACAGCTGCCAGAGCTGGAGGGTGGAGTTTGTGTATTACGCTCCAGAGCAATACAACATTGTCTGATTAAGATAAACATTTTTCTTTAGAAACCTTAACCGTACTGCTTATGGTAAATAATCAGTAAATAACCAATTACAGTTTAATCCTCCTGCTTACTGAATTAAACAAGAGGAAACAGAAAGAATAGTCTGCATGAAGGGGCAGAATTATGTAAAATTGTTATGTTTGAGCTTTACATCATGTTATAATGTCCAAACATACCTGGAGTGTTGTCTTGATCCTTTCATGCATTTTTGTGGCAACCACTCAGCTGTGCAAAATGCCTGGTAAAAATGTTGTTAAAGGGATAATAGAGAAGCCATGTTGTGATGATTTTCTGAAGGCGAAGAATCAGAAAGAGCAGGAGTTTCTTAAAGAGACACAACCCCAATTACAAGATATTTTTTAAAACATTATGAAATATATTTAGAATTTTTACAACAAACAGTTATTTGACTGTGCTATAAAATGGCTCCATTAGCTTGCAAAACATGTGATACCTCACCTTTAAGAGTTAGGCTGTAGAAAAAACATGATGGAATCAATATTATGACAGGTAACAACTTTATCTGCTGACATTTAGTAGCAGTTAAGCATATACTAACTAGGTTTAATTACATCTAATGTGTCACTTTGACAAATTACACTGTACACATCCAGCTCGAGATGATGCATCGTATTAGTTTCTGACAAAACTAGATCTTAGAAATATTATTTTCCATTTATTGTTTTCATAAACAGTGTAAAGAATCCACAGATTACAAACTGTGCACTAAATAGTCTGCAATCAGTCCAACACACTCTTGTGTATCTGGGTTGTAACCCTAAACCTGACGCCAAAAACAGCTGAAATCAGCAGATTTAGTCAATCATTCTCAGTATTTTAGACCTTGAACAACACAGACTTAACTTGAACAAGATGTATTGCAGTGCAAGACCCCTAAAGGTGACCTCAAAGTTAAAGGCGGTGGAAACCAGACTGAGGAAACAGAAAATTCAATAAAAGACATGTTTTTTTAATTTTTTTTATTGAAAACAACACAGATAGTAAACCAATTCTAACAGAGGTTACTAAAGCAGGGCTGCTGATACTGACTGAGTGGTCACCCCCCCCACAACATGCTACACTGCGCAAACAGGCAAATGGGAATAGGGACATAGTGAGCTGAGTCAAAATGTCATGGAAAGATATTATGAATGTTGGCTTGTTGGGCTTGCACCGTGACATTTGGCAAACATCTGTGATTCAAAATTCAGCGGAAGGATTGTGGGAGTGTCTGTCTCCAGCTGCCTCGACATAAAGCTGCGTGTGCATTTCAGGTTTTTCGTGGAGCTTTGTAAACTGCGTTCTAATTGCTTCCCCCTTTGGGTTTTTACCTCTTAGTTCCTGATACAGCTCCCACTGATGTTGGCGGTGGAGGCGGCACAAAGTCTGAATTAGTGATAATATGGGAGGTAAGTCATCTGTCACATTTTTTACGCTTCTCTCTGTCGGCAAGTAATGGTTTTGCTTAATTGTGCAGAATTGAGTGTAGCAATTTTATGACCTACATTAGAGGGGAGACACCCCTCATCTGGCTCAGCTACAGAGAGCTAATTCTCTCTTCAAAAAGAGAGCACTTCCTTCTCAAGGGCTTTGCACTTTAGCTACAATTATCAAACCACACAGAAGGAAAAGATAAGGTAAAAAAGGTGACCGAGGAGACGGAGGAAGTGGAGATATATCTGTTCCCCTAAAAGCCCCAGAGACGAGGCCTAGTCTGTTTGTTTGCCTGTATGCATTTTAATATCACTGTAGTTTTGTGTTTCACTCCCAGCCTCTGCCTGAAGAACTGCAGAATGGCGACGGCTTCGGCTACATTGTGGCCTTCAGGTCAGCTGGCGCCGTCACCTGGACGCGGGCGGTGGTCTCAGCACCCACTGTGTCTCGCTATGTGCTTCGCAACGACACCATCCCGCCCTTCTCGCCGTTCGACATCAAGGTGGCAGCCTACAACAACCGTGGGGAAGGGCCGTTCAGCTCCATAGCCACGGTGTATTCGGCGGAAGACGGTATGCTGGAAAACTAGTCTCTCTCTCCTTATGATGGCGACCTTGAATAGTGATGATTTATTTTTTCCGTCTGCTGTTATTTTTCTCCTCCCACCCTCCCTCTCTCTGAAAGCACTGAATGTCAACTTGATATTAGTTATCTTGCTGGTAGATTACAGGAAATCCTTGCAGACACTTACCACACGGCGCTGTCAGGGAGGTATCCTGTTAATTGAATTTGCTGGGCAGATAGTCTTCCCTTATGTCAGTCACAGATCCCATTAAAAAGAAAGCTCAGGAAATAGCTTCTCGGTGAGAACTACAGCTCTATTCAACGCCTTCCCTTCTTTTTGCTATTAGTGTGTTTGATGGTGTTGGATGAGGCTCTGGGATCTTCACTGCCGTTTCTGCTCTGTTCCTGCAGTCCCCAGTGTGGCTCCGGAGAAGGTGAGGGCCCGGAGTTTGTCGGCAGCAGAGATTGAAGTGATATGGGAAACTCTCCCTTTTCTCCCAGAAAGAATTCTTGGATATGAGGTATGACTCATGGAGCGATATCTCCTGCATACTATGATAATGGAACATTTCTCTGAAGCTTGTTTGTTAGATTTAAAAGAGGAAGCATCAAGTAAAATGGACTTTTTAAGCTTTACATCATGTTTCTAATGTTATTACTTAAACAAAAACATATCTGTAGTGTTGTTTTGATTCTCTCCTGCATGTTTGAGAAATCCTTTTATCTTCATGGCAACCATTTGGCTCCTCCAGACTAGCCAGCATCAATTAGCAAACGCCTGCTGGAACCCCACATTTGCTGAACCCTTTATAGAAGTTACCTCTCAGTGAAACACTAGTAAAAACGATGTTAAAGGGTTAAAGGAGGAGTCACATTGTGATCATTCCTGAGGGCGGAGTTTTCCTGAAGAGCCAGAGGTCCAATTTAAAGGCTTAAATCGGGAAGTAATCCTTCTTTAAAGTCATATTTGATGTAAACAGAATTCTTTGGAAAAGACAAAATCCTGCCACTTTAAATATCCTTTTTTGTTATTTTTCTCCTCTTCTGTCTTCATTTTAATGTGTGTTGTGTTACGCATATATTATGGATATTATGCAATCCGTCTGTGCAAAGTAGTTATTGTGGATGGAATAATATTTGTTCTTTTTTACAACGTATATAAATCTGAAAGATGTAGCGTACATTTCTGCTGTATTTATTTGACACTAAGTTAAATGCAAACATGTGTCTTTACACCGAACAGATAGCTTGTTACAGATTGTTGATGCATAAAAACTGAAGTACAGTAAACAAAGTCCACTTGTGAGGATCTCAAAAGTAACTTTTTTGTTGTGTTGTAGTTTATGCTATTCATTAAATGCAACCAGACATACTTCTTATCAACAGACAGACCAAGCTGCATATGCAAAAGAAGAATGTAGCACGCTAACAAAAAGAAAGTATAAATAAAAGCATTGGCTGAAACTTTTGTCTGTTTTGTCCGTTTGGGTGCGTAGTCGGATCTAAGAGTGGTGGCATGTGATGCGCTTCACTGACGGACTTCATCTGGAAGTTGCACAATTTGGATTTTGGGGGGGAGTGAAAAGATCAGAACTAAGCCCTTCAGGCTGGAATGAAAAAGTCAAATATGGGTACAAATTTTGATTTAGGTCATATTCGCCTCCCAGAAAACGAACAGCATCATAAGGAAAGGTCGGATCCATACCAGCCCAAATTTGCATACTAGTGCCACTCTAGAAAAACTAATTTGCAGCTTTCATTACAGCACAAAGGTGCTTCGATCATTAAAAATGATATTTTACAGAGTTTACTTCTACAAAACTCTGGAAAACTGTTATGGTCTGGCTCTAGAACCATAACAAATTAAAGGGAACCAACGCATGGGATAAGTTAAAATGAGATTTATTTCACAAAAATCATAACTGGCTGGAGAGAAGATGGAGAAAGGAGAGAGAGTGGCAGGAAGACAGAAAGAATGGGCGGAGTTAGAGGATCTGATATCATTCTGGAGACATTGACCAGAATGATATCAGATTCTGGTGACATAACTCCATTTCCAATCAGCATCAATTAGAGACCCAGTAGAAAGGCTTTGTGGTGTTGTGGAGATGGTGAGGCAGACGCTGGAGACCCAGGTAGGTGAATGGTGAGTATTTAATAGTGTAAAAAACAGTCCAAAAACAACAACAAACAGTCAACAGACGTAGTCCACGGCCAGGCAGCACAGCTGAGCGGAAGACGGCTCAACGCTGGTAGCAACTGGTCATACAGGCGGCAAAAACACAAACAAGCGCACAAGTGCGACAAACAACGACGCAACGACAATCTGACAAGGACCTGACGAGGGACAAAGGACACAGGAGGGACTAAATACACTGAGGGTAATCAAGGGAACTAGACACACCTGGGAGTAATCAAGGGGAAGACAGGACAACGAGGGGACCCAGGACACAGAAAACTCAAATAAACACAACAGAAAAACACGGAACATGACACTTTGGGCCGTAACAAGTCGCATCCTTTTACCTGATGGTTAAACACTGCTTTGTGTTGCTCTATCACATAAAATTTTGAACAAATACATTGAAATTTGCAGTTATGTCACAAAGTACAGAAAAATACAGGGTGGGGTGAATACTTCTGTAGGACACTGTGTGTAGTTCTTCATTAAATGCAACCAGACATACTTCTTATCAACAGACAGACCAAGCTGCATATGCAAAAGAAGAATGTAGCACGCTAACAAAAAGAAAGTATAAATAAAAGTATTGGCTGAAACTTTTGTCTGTTTTGTCCGTTTGGGTGCGTAGTCGGATCTAAGAGTGGTGGCATGTGATGCGCTTCACTGACGGACTTCATCTGGAAGTTGCACAATTTGGATTTTGGGGGGGAGTGAAAAGATCAGAACTAAGCCCTTCAGGCTGGAATGAAAAAGTCAAATATGGTAAACACTGCTTTGTGTTGCTCTATCACATAAAATTTTGAACAAATACATTGAAATTTGCAGTTATGTCACAAAGTACAGAAAAATACAGGGTGGGGTGAATACTTCTGTAGGACACTGTGTGTAGTTCTTATTACTGTGGATCTACATGAACATTTTGTTTTTGGACTTCAGAAATTTGGCACACAGCCAACAAAAGCCCTGCAAAAAGAAATTTAAACACTATTTTTATGTTTTTTACAGATGCAAAGCGACCCTGACCGTTTTTATTCCCCAGTGGCTGCCTCTGAATATTTGACACCTCCGGCCCGCTGCATAAAGCAGCCTTGTTGCTATAGCACTGGCCTCATTGTCCTTTCTGACCAGCAAACCTCCTACCATAAAGCGACAAACCTATTTACAACACAGGTGGAGAGCTTATGCTGAACTACATGTTGGCTTGCAGCCCCAATTAAAATCCAAATCAAGTCCTTTCAGGGGGATGATGTTACTGTAAATGGCACTCTGCTACTTTTCATTTGTTGGTTTTAACTAATTACAAACTGGGAAGACTTCAAATAGTGAAAAATATTTATATAAAAGTTAGTATTCCTAGAGGAACATTATAAATTAATTATCTATTAAGATATTTTTCATGTTAAACCAAAACCTGCCAGTTTGCCTGAATAATTCCTGAATCATCTAACCGAAGTTCAACTTTCTTATGTTTACTGTGACTTTTTTTTCTATTTAAAATTGTTCCATTAAATGTATTCATCCCTGTTTGTTTTCATAATCCAGGTTTATTCAAAATAAATTAATTAATTAATTAATTAAAAAAAAGATAAATTTTTTTTGACCCACCAAAGCCCTGGCTGAAAGACCCGGATGGCTTACAGGATATTACTAATTTACACTCCACTTGTGAAAAAATGTTTTATTCATTTCCCCCCTCTTTGTCTCTTCTTCTGAAATACAAACAGTACTTCACGTGTGATGACATATTCCTTTAAATTTTAATAGCATAATCAAAAGCGACAGTGAAATTATGCCACATCTCTTTGTTCCTCTTCCTTCTTCCCTTTTTAGGTGATGTACTGGGAAGACGATACCAAGCCTGACACTGTAGGCAAAGTGCGGATAACAGGGAACTACACACATGTTAACATCACGGGGCTAAAAGCCAACACGGTGTACTACCTCTCTGTGGCTGCCTTCAACACGGCCGGGCCCGGGCCTCAGTCACTGCCCATCAACAATACCACCAGGAAACCACGTGAGTCATGCAGGCGGGGCGGTGCTGCTGCATTTTCAACAACTTCTCAAAAAAATTCTGATAGAAGAGCTTCCTGAAAGCTCTCAGGTGTTTTCATACCTGATCGTCCGGTAGATGAGGTTCAATTAGGGCCAAAATTGCAACATTTGTTGTGTTTTCAGCTGCTGGATTCTCTTTCACACTGCACTGTGTCCAATGAACCAAACTATTTGAAAAACAACCAAGCGGCTGTAGGAGCACTGCATCTACGCTTGTAGGTTCACTGACGAGATCACAAAATCTTTGTTTTTGTCTTGTAACAGAAACAAAAACTTTTTGGTCAAAATGACCAAAAAGACAGATGCTTGTTCCAGCCCAACTGTGATGTACGAGGGTGGCAGCATCATGCTGTGGGTCTGCACTTAATAAAGAACCTTATGTGGAAATACTGAGCAACATCTAGTTAAAGCTCAGGTACAAATGGGTCTTCCAGATGGACAGTTACATTAGCCATGTAGCCAAAGTGGCTATAAAGTGATCTCAGGACAACCTTAACTGCGACAGACTGGTGACCTGTGCAGAGTGTACCCCGCCTCTCGCCCGGAACGCAGCTGGAGATGGGCACCAGCACCTCCCGACCCCATTAGGGAGAACGGTGCTCAGAAAATGGATGGATGGATGGATGGATGGATGGATGGATGGATGGATGGATGGATGGATGGATGGATGGATGGATGGATGGATGGATGGATGGATGGATGGATGGATGGATGGATGGATGACAACCGTAATGGAGAAATTGTGGTAGATCTGAAAAAGCATCTGAAAGTGAGCAAACTACTGTGAGAAGCTTGTTTAAAGAAACCAATAGGTTTTGACCCAAATTTCCACCAAATACTGAAGAAATTAAGGTAAACTTCTGATTTTGAAGACATCAATAAGTAAATCTCGGATAGACTCTCATTATTTTGGCACAGAAATGTTGGTAATTCTGATTGTCAAGCTGGAGTTGTTCAGTCTGAAAATAAGGTCTTTTTATTGGTGCATGTAAACTTCTGGTTTAAATTACAACCAGCTCATTATTCACGTATATCTTTACGTCTGATTTCCTTTTTGCAGCGCCAGACAGGGCTCCGCTCAACATACAATGGAGCATGATTGGGTCCTCGCTAACTCTGCACTGGGATCCCGTAGTTGCCACAGAGACCGAGTCAAAGGTGACTGGATATCTGGTAAGTTCAGGTTTGTTCCAAACCCCTCCCTGATTTATCCTCCGATAATTTTTACCAGTCACAGTAGTTAATTTTATAAACACCTGGTTGTCCAGGTGATACTAAAGAGACACCGATACAACGACATCCACACCACCTTCACCAACAGAACCTCAGCCGAGCTCAGCCTCTCGGCCGGCGACAACTATCTCATCCAGATCAAGGTTCTGAGCGAAGGCGGCGAAGGCATGGGCAGTGAACCTATACACATCCACAAATTAAGTGAGATAACTTTGCATCCTGTCCCGTTATGTTTTTGTTGTTGTTTTTTTTTTGGGGGGGGGGGACGGTTTACCAGTTTACCAGTGCTGAAGTTCAGTTGTGTATTTATCTGTCCAGACAGAAAAAGTAATTTTGCTTCATTGGATGTGTTTCCAACCACATGTAATAGCCTTATTTTCAGCATAAGAAAAGCAACCTTTTTTCCAAACGCGTTCACTGTGTCATCCATCTCTGCCATTGGGTTATTATTCCTTGTTGATTGGCTGCACAGGGCTGCAGCATATAAAGCAGGGCTGTGCTCCCATCTCACTGCACAGCTACATTGTGAGGCAGCTTCGGCTTGCGGAGCTCCTCTTTGATATGGTACAAACTTTATCTTCCTCTGGATTCTTTAATAGCCTCTCCTGTTGAAAACGTCATCTAGTCTAGATATGGAGAAGAAGAAAAATCACTTTTGCCTTTTAATTTATGATGACTTGTTAGATTTAGAAGGTTATTTTATTTTTTTCCGTCTTGGTGGGATTAGTATTTCTAATCCAAGTGACCATGCAGCTTTAAAATTTCTTAATTTTGTGTATCTAAAATAAAAATCTTGCAAATTTTCCATGAGACCGCTTCCTGAAAACTTCCTGCATCTTCAGATGTTGACAGGGAAAAAGTTCAACATTTAAACGGCGCCGCCAAGACACTTTAAGTTAGCTTCAGTTGTCATGCCAGGCCTCTAGATGGCACTGTGATTTTAGCATATCAATTAACCCTTTCGACCATTAGCTTCCAGTAAACAGTAATTCATCTTCCATGAAATAAGCACTTATGTAACACATATGTTCTGTATCAGAAATTGAACAGATTAAGTAGCATAATGTTAACTGGAATTATTTTTGTCATCTGCCCGTGCAGAATAAGTCGTACGTTCTGTGCATGTGCACTTCCACACCTCCAGGGGGGGTGTCACAGAAAAGATTTAAGGCTTAAATTTGTTAAATTAATTGAAAAGGTTAAAGATTTTAATTCAAAGCTAAGTAAATTAGCTTTAAATGTGTTAATTACAGGTTTAAATTTTATCAGAAAAAGACTATTTAATATCATATATGTGTTTTTTTTTTTTTTCTGGCAAGACATAACTGTAAGGCAAATGTTTGAGTGGCCACAGACATCTTGATTCCGTTCTGCGACTCAGGGTATTTGAGGTTACTGGCTGCTAAAAACCATTACTTTCCAGCTAGCTTTTTGGCATCTTACTTTATCATGGGTGATGGGATCGACACATGGGGACACAGGGTCACTGCATCATGTAAGCTCCATTGAAAATGAACCAAGGCAGCGTCATTAAATCCCATTTGTCCACCCATGTAAGTCAAAGTTTATCTCCAGTTGCCTAGGTGATGTTCATTTCTGTTGCCAAAACATATGAGGCAGGAATTTCACAATTTTTGCTAAGCTATTATTTTCATATAGTAGGATCCTCAGCACATATGTTACCTATTATTATATGTACCCCTTGTATATATATTTTTTCTGGTCTTAAATTTCCCTAAAGATTTAATTAATCTTAAAAAGTTTTAAGTTTTACTTGCTCAAACCTCTTACCATCTCCGCTGGCTTTCTGTTGCAGGCATGGGAGCTCGGGGTTCTGGAGCCAGCGGTCTCAGACGGTTGTCTTGCTCTTTGGTCCTTATTGGTGCATTGTTATGCTCCATCTGGTGATGTCACGCCTCTGCCTCTGTCATCCCTTCATTTAGCTTAAAACCCCTAAGATGGATAAAGATAAAGAACTTTGTTTAAATAGCCATCCAAAAGACAAGTGACGAATCACTTGCATGATTGATTTTTTCTTGCTTGCAACTTCTTTGTTTGTCAAAAAAGTGCCACCGTCCTCAAGATTTAATTTTCGAAGTTGCTTATGTGTCCCAAATTAACCTTGACTCATGATTTTGGAGATGGAATTGCCTTAAAGTCCACTTTGATGAAATGGTCCACACCAAAGTAGGTAACAGCAGCTGCTCCAACCTTAAACAAGCATGTTTAAAAAATAATAATAATTATCATCACAGTGCAGTTTACATATTAATCATTTGCTGCACCCATAATTGAGCTTGTCAGGTTAACGTAAAAGCATTCATTCAGAGCATGTGGTTCACCAAACTAATGGTAATGCCTTGGAAAACTAGTCACCCCCTTTGAACTTTTTCTAATTTTGTCAGAAAATCAATCAGTATGTGTTTATTAATATCTCATTTGACAGACTAAACAAGTGCAGCACGTTAAATAGAGGGAACTTGATAAATTACTTTCAAAAACTTACTACTCAAAAACTCACTGATATGAAAATTTGGGTCGATATCTGATATTAATGTTGCCAGTGGCAGTTAAGGATATTGCTGGGAAGCTCTTAATGAACCCTTGATAGATAACTCGATGCTTTTTTTGCATCGTGTTAGCTCAATGCAAAAAAAGCATGACCAGCTGACCATCAGTCAGTCGACTGACCGTCGGTCAGTTGGGCTGGATGAGATTCGTCTTTACCACTTGTGTTGGGACCCATGCAACGTTACGTGCATTTTGGGCAAAAAAGCTCTACTACATTTAACCATAAAATGTGTAATTTTCTTCTGTACGTTCTCATGATGCAAGTCTTAAATTGCATTCATACTGGTCTTAAAAAGTCTGATATTTACTCCACTCCCCAGTTATGTGCTGCTTTGTGTTGGGCTATTTCATAAAATCTGAACAAAATATTAATGTGACAAATTTAAAAAAATAAGAAAAAAAAAACATCAAGGGGTTTGGATACTATTGCAAGGTGCTGAAGTCATATCAATTGCAGCTCTGAAAAGCTTTCCCAGGCTTTGTCAAATATACGAATGCTGCATAATTGATCAGCTGTGCCTGAAACCCACTTATCTCTGACGACTTAAATATTAAATCTGTTAGAGTCACAGGCTCGTGAGCTTTAGACCCCTTCCACAACACTCTGATAGATCTTGGCATTTTGCTCTCCATCTCATGCTCCTCTAAATAATTAATGCCTATCACACTCTGCATTCTAAATCCAGTGGGAAAATAAAAAGCAGGAGTGTGGAGTAGCTCCATCGAGCTGATCTCTCCTGTACCGTTCCATCTCTACATGGAAATGGCCGATGTTCTACGACGAGCACCTGCAGCTGCGCACAATGGACCGCCAGATAACAGTGCCTTCACTAAAGCTTTGCCCCAGCATTTTTCTTTCTCCCTTTTAGATAGAGTACAGAAGGATTGATGTTGCGACAGGGGAATTGTTTGCTTTTCTGAAGAGTATTGCCAACAAAAGACAGGAGGCTGAGCATGTAAGAAGCAGGCCCTCATCAGAAAAGGCTGATTAAATTTTCATCAGGCCAGGGAGCATCTTTGATGAAAAAAAAAGGTCGGCCGATTTACAAAAGCTTCAATAGATTTCAATTTTCGGTCATAGTGTTGACGACCTGGAGCATAATAAACATGTGACTCCATCCATATCATAATTTAGGAGCTTTTTATGTATGGGTTAATGACAGGGTCTTGACTGTAAGTGGTGTGCAAGGTGTAGCTGTTTAAAATCACAGCCAGCCCCACATTTTACCTCCATGTGTTGGACTCACTGGGCTGAAGAGTTAGCATAGGAACCTCAGCTTAGGAAGCCCCTGTTTTCCAGCCTGTCGTCATCTGAACTGGAACCAAGGTTTCGTTTGGTCCGGGCAACGTCAGTCTGGAAGGATGGACGGTTGAACTTTGAAAATTGAATTATTGTGCCTTTGCCAAATGTTGGGGTTATGTATAGTCCTAAGCTTACAGCCTTTTTTTGTTTTTGTCTGGATTTTGAACTTTGTAACCCTCCCAAAAAACCCCAAACAGTCAAACAGAAGCACAAGGATTTGTTAGCGACTGGAAGTTATCACGTAAACGTCTAAACAAGTGTTGTGGGACACCAGAGGAATCATAAAGCTCCGCACAGCCGATGTGATCGGCTGTTGTATCTGCTCCTCTGACTGGATTCATTAAACTCTGCGCTCGTTGATTAGACTCCTACAGACCAGTCAATGGGTTATTGATTTTCCTAGCCCATTATTGCGGTTGTCACAATTCAGCCGTTTGACTGATTGATGGCCGAGCCCTTATGCACCTGTTCTATTGTGTTGCAGTCTGTAACGTTTTAAATGTTTTCCACCCTATACACTTCCTCTTTCCTTTTTTTTTTGACGATTTTGAAGTCATTCTTTTTCTTTTATTGTTTTTGCGTTGAACAGAAAAAATCCCATTCCAGGTTATTTTCTCAGATTTTTTTTGGAAGCTCTTGTATACTGTTCCATCAGGCATATTTTCAATACATTAGTCACTCGTGAATTGGAGAATTGACCTGAAATCGACTATCTAATTGGCTCTTTTGACTTATATGTTATAACAAATCCATCAGTAGCTGCGCAGCTATTACATTTTGAGCTTTAGACGCTTTCCACAACACTCTGTATTAAAAACTCTACATTAGTTTTTGATAGCAGTGTACAAAAAAACAATTTCACAATTGCAGTGTTTCCATTAAATAAGACACGCAATGAAAATCACACATTAATAAATAGGTTTACGTGATAAATCATTAAAAAATATGCAGCACCATCCTCCTCCAACTACTTCATGTTGTTTTCTTCATGGCTTGTGCCAGTGCCAACATCTGGTTGTTGATTATTTGACCCGTGTGAGGAGAAAAAAAATGTTTCTATTTAAGTTTTGAGAAATACACCAATTTTGATACATCTAAAAACCCACCTCATTATAGTACCAAAACTAGTTTTTTTGAAATTGCCATTTCTGCATCATGCAAATTTATTTTCCAAATGTCAAATTGCACAATTCTAATAGAAACACAGCTACTGTTCTCTTACGATAGTAGAGCTGTTTTTAATATTGTCAGTAGTATATGAAGCGAGTCACACTAGGACTTTAAAACTGTAACATCCACCTTTAGACTGGTTTTGTCCAATGAAATAAAGTTGTTGTTTTTTTTTAACCTTCATTCATGTTTTTGAAAGATTTGAACAACTGACAATCGATCACACTAATATTACTATGCATCTTGTAAAACCTATTTTAATTCAACTCTAAATATTCATGCACTGCTATATTAATAATCAGTATCTTGTTTTATTCAATATATGGATTTAATTTCAGAATACCATAACTGCTAATAAGCTTTATTAACCTTCAGCTTGTAAGTCAATTAGCACCATAATATTTCTTTGTTAGTGTAGCAATGAGTTTTTTTTCAGTAATGCATGCTCCATCAAGTGTGGGTTGACTTATCTGGTGAGAATTCACTCTAAGTGTGCTCAATATTTAGTCAGTATTGAGCACACATAGCATTTTTTCATAATTTTTGGGTTTAAATCTCAAAATGGGTATGTAAGTCATAGAATATTTTCTTCTCATTCTTTTTAACTGTCCAAGTGACCTTAATATTCTGTTTTACATCTCAAAGTTGCTGTCACACAAACAACAGAAAAATGAATCTCATAAAAAGAATTGTTTTTAGCCAGCTTGATGTTTGCCTGTGTATTAACCTGGATACACGGGCAAACAACTTCAGGACTATTTCTTTCCTTACTTCAAAATACAGGTCTCAAAAAGACAAAACTGAAACAGCAGCTTCAGTTTTTCAAGAAATAATGTGGCTTTTTAGGATCACAAAATCTTATGCTACATAATCTACATCTCATAGCAAATCTGCTCTTTGTTTCCAGATGGAAGTCCAACCATGATCTTCCAAACCTAAACAGCCCTGCAAACATTAAAAATGTATAATTCAACCACCAGATGTGGTCAGTTTGTTTGTTTAGCTTCATTTTATTTTCTCTTTTCTTCATACTTTGTTTTCTGATATTAATTTCTGCTAAGTACAGCTCAACATCAACATTTGACACTGTACAGTTTTCTTTTGTGACTCGGCTTCAAAGCTCTTTGATGAAAGTGGTCTATTGAATTTCCAAAGGAAGTACCTTAAGTGTCAAATAGTATGTTCATATTTTACATTGTGCAACTGTAGGCAGAATTTTTTTGCAATGATTTTTTTGTTAAAACATAGTTGTAGTTAAGCCTAATGTCTTTAATGTGTTCTCATGCTCAAATAAGATTTTTTTTTTTCCTGGCCTTTTGCTTTAATTAATGCTACAATGTACAATCTAAAAGAAAGAAAGTGATCAGTCAGCTTTATGGGTTAAAACTAAAATTATTACAGAGAAGCAAGATGTCTATTAATGTCCACAAGGTCCATACAGATAGTTAGTTTCTGTGGTTGGAATGGAAGAGACAGTATATAATGTATATAGCTTGCATATGATTTTTAAAACCTGGCCATCAAAGACAACCTTACTTCTTTTATATAGTGTGTTCTCTGGCTTTAATACTGATGTATTAATCAATGATCTCTGTGAGATACTGACATGTAGAGTGGCATTTTCATATTGAAAAGTAACTGTATTGTCTTGTATACTAAAATTGTGCATGGTAATAATTATTAATTTGTGTTTTTTTTCTATAACTGTAACTTAGTAAAAATGTTTATTTCAACCAATGTTGGCTTTCTTCATTAATGAAAGATATACCTACAGGCTGTAGGCAGCCAATCTATGCAGAATAAAGAATAAGTATTTATAGAACAACATATAGGTCTAATATTCAGTGGAAAACAACTAGGCTTTGAAATTTGTTTATATAAGAATGCAGTGGTAGAAATAGCTCTGCTTCTGGGCTAATACCAGAGCAAATTTTTGGTTTGGTGCATTATCTTTCTTGCTAACTTTGAAAACATTTCACACACTTAGCTTGTTTTTTAAACTTTCAGTTAAATAAAGTTCAACATCTGTGTTGAAGTTTTTGTTGTTTATACATTGGTTAATGGCTTGTATTTGTGTGGCATTTTTTTAGATGTTATAGAGGAACAAAATGCATATTTGGATTTGCTGATAAACATCCCATAATACAGAGAAATAAAGCAGCTGATAAATAAAAGCTCCCTTATTTGAAATTGATTAAAGAATTTGCAGTTCCAGGTAGAAAACACATTGAACTTCAAAACCTCCGCTGATTAAAATGCTTACTTCCATCATACTCTGTATAAAAAAAGATCTATAGATCCATAAGCCTTGCCGTTGAATAATGCATTAACCTTCACAGGGAGGATCTAGCAGATACCCAGTGAAATCTAATGAGTTAATGAGATGTATTAACTGGGAACACAGGCGGGTGAGATCACTGGAATGCATGATCAAACTAAAAACACCTCCTCCCATAATCCAAAGCCAGAAAAGCTGCAGAAAGCGGCTTCTTGTGGGATTGGCACGTCTCTGAACGTGGGTTCCTTTTTTGAGTCCAAGAGATCTAAACAGGATTATGTTATGTTGAGGTGGTTTGTAGAGCAAATGAGTGTTTTAGAATATAATCACTCGATTTATCAAAGCACACTGCACTGCCTGTTCGACTCTGTGTTTTACACATCATTAGCGATGTTCCGGTTGTAGGAAAATAAAGTTTTGTTATTGCTAAGGGAAGCTTGTGTTGAAGCTGTTCGATTTAAGCTGATGTGATCAGCATATTTTTAAGCTGAATGTAAACTTGTAACTGTCCCTGTGAAGATTTTATTAATAATGTTTCATACTGTTCATAAAAAATGATTCAAAGCACAAGGGCAGGATGGTGAGGTGGTAATATTAAACATCCCTACATACAGTAGGGATGTTTAATAGGCTGTCTTTCTATCCAGAAGCATTAATGTTAGATTAATTACTGCCAGGTAGACCTTCAGAGTGAACCTGCTTGTTTGGTTGCATCTCCTCATCCATTGTATGTACCATGCTTGTCCATGTATGACAGCTAGGTCTGGCTCCAGCACCCCCACAACCCTGAACAGGATAAGCTGGAAGTAAATGAATGGATCAGTGCTGACAAGGACAAGCTTGCTAGCAAACTGTCCTTATAAGGGTGTTTTATCCCAATTAGATGGCTGTGACAGACTAAATATGACTTTACATTTCTGTAAGACAAATGCAGTACATACCAATACTTTGGAACTGCAGCGAAGTTTCTTGGGGCCTCTTGGTAAATAGCTGTAAAAAGTGTTGAAATAAAGTTGTCAAGGAAAATCAATAGTACTCCTACAAATGGCAATCAGAAGCATGTAAACTAGCCTTGCACCTCAGTATTTCATCTTCCCAAACTGCATTTTCTATTGATTAAAAAAATTTGTGAACAGGTGAATTTTCCATATATGTTTTCCATGAATAATTAAAAGAATTTATGGAAATTACAATTTGATTGGAATTTTTAGATCAAAACAGTTTTCAATCTAAGAAAGCCAAACCAATTTCATGACTTTACTTAGCAATTCTGCTTCCTGAACAAACACATGGTAACCATGGTCATGCTTCCTTTGAACATGAAGAGACCTCCAGCAGAACATGGCTGTACAGAAGAGGACTTTGAACGCAACTGACAACTCAAACAAAAGACTGCTGACCTTCACTCCACAAGTCCCCATAGCAACTATTAGACACTATCTATAGACCTTCTGGTTGCTCAGGAGGGAGGCCAGAAAAATATGACCATGTAGAGTAAAGTGTTTCAACTTTGACTGAAACTGATTTTGGTAAAACTGAATGATTAAGGTTTTCAGGAACAAACCCTCCAAGTGGGTTTGGAATGAATGAAAGGAGAAATGCCTGAAAAGGCCAATGATGGCTAGAGTAAGTGATACATCTGGGATTCTATTGGTTTATTTCTCTCACAAATGAAATAAAAATACCAAGTTACTATTAAACACAGTCACCAGTTATGCACACTCACAGGTGAAAAATTAAGAACACACTAAAACACACACAATGAAAAGGCAATAGGTTACGTTTCTCCAATAAAAATGTGTATAAGAATGGATTTACTCTGTGTGCAGAAAAAAGAAGAAGAAATATTATTTAACAGGTTATTGTTGGTTGCTGGGTGTTCATGACAAATGGATGCAAAACTTTGTCAGTATTTTGCTAACGTTGAAAACATACAATTTTCCAAATGCAGTGTTTCCACTTAATAAGAGACACACTTTAAATCAGATGAGTAAGTTTGCTCACAGGATAAATCTTTAAAGAAACTTGCTGAGTAATGATCCTTCTGTTAATTATGTGACTCGTGATGTAAAAAAGTGTTTCCATTGCAGTTTTGCAATATGAAACAATTTTGATTTGCAAAAAAAAAAAAAAAAAAAACACCTCATCCTAGTGGCAAGACTTTTTATGAAAAAAAAGTCATAAAATTCATGAAAAAAGTCATGAAAAAAAATTGTATTTAAATTGTGTTTCCATTGAGCAAATTTATTTTCGTAATGTGAAATTGCACAATCATATGGTCAATGGAAACGCTGCTACTGTGTTGGGGCAACATTACCCTTTTTGAGCCCTTTTCATAGCCTGGGGTTCTTCATCAAGTCCTTATTACACTGAACTCATTCTTAAATTTCTGAAGCAATTACAGACAGCTGGGAACCAAAAGAACCAGATATGTTGTCATCAGGGACAATGTGTCTGCTGAGATACACAACTGGTTTTAACAACAACCACAATTTACAGTTCTTCACCGTCCGCCATCCTCTCCCCTTCCTGAGTCTCTCTGTGAAGTTCTTCTCAGCATGGCAGTAGAAGGTGTATAATCTCTCCTGTATATCCAGATGCCATGCACCCAGGCTATGGAGGAGGTCTGTGACCAAATCGATGTGACATCAATACAAGGATAGATTCGTGACTCTAGAAGATTCTTCCTACGTTGTCTTGCTAAAGATAACGTTGCCTGTGATGTTGACGAGGTGCCGTAGCCAGATCCAGATCTTTTCTTTACTTGAGTCATTGCAAAGAGCTGACATGAAGTGAAATGAATAAATTCATTCATCTGCACAACTTGACATGTAAAGTTGCTGAATTTATTTTTATAGATTCTTTGTATAAATTATATGATAAGCTGAACCGACTCTAACAAAATCAGATGATATGGATGTGTGGGATGTTTTGACAAGAAAATGAGGTTTTGTTAGAAATTGTAGAGTTTTGATTCAACTGTTGCAAATAATCTAAGGTGTTGTGGTAATTGCGTGAAGTGTTGTGCCTTGTTTGCAACTATATGAAAAGAAAACCTTAATACACACAAACTCCATAACAATGTGGAGCACAATTAAATTCTAATCAACATATTTTCACTGATTATGTTCAGACATTTTCACTCAAAATGTTTTTTCTGCTTCAAATGAAAACAGCCCGACCTTCATTCATCAGTTAACCTCTGCCTTGTTTCTCAAAATCAGCAAATACTGATTAGAGAAAGAGCAGTGTCTGAATGAAAACTGTGTTCTTTGTTATGAGAAAAGGTACTTTCATAGGAATGGATAAAAAGCACAGTTGCAGGTTGAGAAAAAGCTTTTATTGGCATCTTTGCAGTGAATCATATTAGAAGCTCCATGAGGTGGTGTCGCTTTGTTATTCATCATACCTCTTTTATACTGCTTGAAAAAGAATTCATACACATTTATTAAATCTTTTTTCTTCAGTTTTCTTTTGAAGAAAAATGTATTTTGCTACACGTTTTCTGGCCAGATAGGTTTCATTTTCCCTGCTTGCTGAAGCTTGCTTGGTTGTGCTCAGGGTCCTGTGGTTGCCTCATTCCTAATTAATGAAATATCAACTGGACACCTTCTGGCCTCAGCAGGAACGCATGAACAAGCTTTGTGAGGTTAATTCCAGTGAAGTGAGTATTTGCATTTTGGTCTTTGGCTTCAGATATTTGAAATCTCTAACTATCTATAACTGAAAATGACTAACTGGTTACCATAAACACAGAACAGCTTCCAAATGGGAATCAGGCATACCTTGTTGTGCTTAGCATGATGCTTTCACTGTTCAGAAAAATGTAGTCTGGAAATTGAAAAAGTGTCTTTCTTTTCTGTATTTCTTGACATGTTTTCTCTCGATGCCAGACTGGTCGAAACCTGTGCGTCTGAGAAAATGTGCATGAAGGTTGAAAATGAAAACACATGAAAATTTGTAATTCTTATGTAAGTCTCGGGTTGAAGTCATTCAAATCACATTTAATCCATTCTGTCTGACTAACATTAGGGGTGTGAGCAACATTAGGTGTTACAAAGAAAATATCGTTTACATTGAATATTTTTCACCTTACTGGATTCATTACTTCACTGAATACTGAAAACTAAATGTTAATCTTCCTACTAAAGGTCAGAACTTAAATCAACAATCAGTCTGATTGGAATTAAAACTAAAAAATTCCATGTTTTTCTGTCACTCTGGTCACCAGCAGATTTTTTTGTTGGCTTTCTGTTACGCCAATTGTGTTGCCAGGTTAGATATAATAGCACATAGAAATTCAACATGTTTGTATATATACAATGAGTTGAAGTTAATCATCACGTCACTTATACTTTTACATTTTCAGTAAATTTTTATATTACAGTTTATTTTTAAATGACTGTAGATAATGCATGTCTGTTTGGTTTCATCTCCTTTTTTGTTGTATCTTGAATAT